CTCATTTAAGCCTTATATCAATCCTGTAAAGCAGGTAGATAAGGTAGATTCTACCCCAGTATCCATAAGGAAAGGAGCCCTGGTGGCACAGTGGTTAAAGTGCTTGACTGCTAACCAAAAGGTAGACAGCTGGAACCCATCAGCCGCTTTGCAGGAGAGATGTGGCAGTGTGCTTCCAGAAAGATGTACAGCCTTGGGAACCCTATGGGGCAATTCTACTCTGTCCTATAGGGTTACTAATAGTCGGAATCGACACAGTGGTGATCGGTTTGGTTTCCGTGGGTCCGTGGAGAACCGGAGGCTGATAAGTTAAATACCTTATACATGGTCATGTTGTTAAGTGGTAGAGACGCCTAGGATTATCTGGATCCCAGAGCTATATTTAATCATATTATGTCTTCTTTCCATGTAATAGGCACTAAATAAATATTTAGAAGAATAATTCTGATAAGCAGTCACATCCTCCATTATTATTTCCTAAATTATGAGATAAAAGTATGTGAAAGTAATTTTAAGTAATCATTAATGATTTTATGTAGAAACTTATGAAACTTCCAACTACCCATCAGCTGCTCCATAGGAGAAAGATGTGACAGTCTGCTTCTGTAAAGATTTACAGTCTTAGAAACCCTCTGGGGCAGTTCTACTCTGTCCTGTAGGGTCAGTATGAGTCAGAATCAACTTGACAACAATGGGTTTGGTTTGTTTTTAGTTCAGCTACTGGCATTTTACTTGTTCCAAAGAATATATTCTTAATTATTTTGTAAGGATTTATTGGGTTTTAAGAGCTTTAATTATACATTTGTTCTGAATCTTAAAGAAAAGGAATATTTAAAGTCTTGTGTTGGATTACCTTGGACAAAAAGCTCAGTAACTACTGTCAGAAAAAGGGTTTAGCAAATTAAAACTACAATGAGATAACATCTCACCCAACATCAGTGGCACTGATTAAAAAAAAAACAACAACAAATACTGATGTGGTTGTGGGGAGACTATAATTCTTATACACCGCTGGTGGGAATGTAAAATGGTACAACCCCTATGGAAAATGATATGACACTTCCTTAAAAAGCTAGAAATAGATCCAGCAATACCACTCCTCAGTATATACCCTAGAGAAATAAGAACCATGACAGGAATAGACATAAGCACACCCCTGTTCATTGCTGCATTATTCTCAATAGCAAAAAATGGGAACAACCTAAGTGCCCATCAGTGGATGAATGGATAAACAAACTGGTGCATATACACAATGACTACTATGCGATGATAAAGAATAACAACGAATCTGTGAAACATCTCACAACATGGATGAATTTGGAGGACATTATGCTGAGTGAAATAAGCCAGTGACAAAACGACAAATATTGTAAGAGACCACTACTATAAAAAAAACAAGAAAAGGTTTACCCATAGGAAAAAACATTCTTCGATGGTTACCAGGGAAGGGAGGCGAGAGGGTAGATTACTAAATTAGATAGAAGACGTGGTAATACTGACGAAAGGCAATACGCTATGTGAGGGAAGTCAGCAGGACATGACAAAGGCAAAGGAGGACACTGAAAGGGACTCAAGAACAAAAGGCCACTACGGCAATTACTATAACATAGACAATCCTGCAACAATAGTATTAACAAACAGTAATTTATGAAGGGATACTTAGGTAGATAGGTGCACTAAAGAGGCGTGGGAGGGTGTAAGGGAGCACATCCGCCTGCAGATACAGGTTAGGTTGTAGATAATGCTACATACATATTTGTAGATGGTGCATGTGTACTAATATAGGTGATAGAACACACAAGGGGCACAGTCATGGAAACTTCTTATACAAAACCAGACACTTCCTGGGACGAAGCTACTAGCCTTGAGGGCTAAGGACCATAGACTCAGGGGACATGTATGTCAATTGGCATAACAGTGCATAAAAACAATGTTCTGTATCCTACTTTGGTGAGTAGCGTCTGGTATCTTAAAAGCTTTCGAGTGGCCATCTAAGATACAACTAGTGGTCTCTTCACGTCCAGAGCAAAGGAGAACGAAGGAGACCAAAGAGTCAAGGGAGCAATTAGTCCAAAGGACTAACGAACCACATGCACCACAGCTACACGACCCCGAGACCAGAAGAATTAGATGATGCCCTGCTGCCACTACCTACCGCTCTGACCGGGATCACAATAGAGGGTCCTGGCCACGGTGGGAGCAAAACGTAGAACAAAAAATCAAATTAATAATAAAAAAAAGACCAGACTTACTGGCCCGATAGAGACAAGAGGAACCCCTGAGGCTGTGGCCCTAAGACACCCCTCTGACTTGGAAACACAGCTGTTCCTGGAAACCACCTTCCAACCAAGCAATAGACAGGCCTATCAAATAAACAACACTCAAAAAGAATGTGCTCTATAGAACAATTATACAAGACCAAAAGAACCACATTTGCCCGAAAGTAAAGATGAGAAGGCAGGAAGGGGTAGGAAAATCAGATGAAACAGGGAACCCAAGGCGGTAATGGAAGAGTGTTGACGCACGGTGGGGATTACAACCAGTGTCATGGAACACTTTGTGTACAGTTTGTTGACTGGGAAACTAATTTGCTCTGTAAACTTTCACCTAAAAATATTAAAATGAAAGAAAGAAAAGAGTTTGTAAGTCTAGTTTAAAGGTACATGATGGTATCTTTAGGGAACATTATGGTACACTGATACATATAGTACAAGGTGGTGGGAGTCTTTGGTGGAAGTTTTGCTTCCAGTTCTGCCATGGCAGATTGTGTGACCTTAAGCATATGGCTTAACATCCCTGAGACACTTAAGCATTTGTGCAGCCTACTATGTGCTAGATACTGTGCTAGTGCTAGAAAGTAGGCCATTTTTTAAATTTGAAAACCAAGGGATCGGATTAAGATCAGAATAATGACCTTGGATTCTTTGCAGCATGAACTCCATGGTCTTAATTATTTTTTGAAATTGTTGTTTGATATTATTGTCTAATATTTTAAAGTTTCTTTCTCTTGGAATTAAAGAATATTTCAGTATTGGAACCTAATTTATATGTATTTTATAGATTTACATATGTATAATATTATATATGAGACTTTTTCCAAAATTTCTCATAAAATAGAAGGATATTTATACTTGAGCCCTTATAAAGTCTCATTATATGTGCTCTCTTACTTTGAACCACAGAGAAAGGTTTGGGGAAGCCATTAGCCCAAAACAGTGTTGGTCGATGCTAGTTCCAGATGCTTAGGGAGGTTATTTGGCAGAATCTGTTTTTAAAAAAGCTTAATTTAACACAGTTTTAGCAATTATTCCTGGAGGTATAACCTCACAATTGCAAATGTTACCTGTCATTGTAAACAAGTGCTTAAAGTGTAGAGATCATGAGTCATCCTACAGAATGAATAGAAATAAATTTTCTAAGGTAATGTCCATAAGTAGTTGTTATTTGATATTAAATTTCCCATAAATGCTTCATACATGAATTCAAAAAGCGTGTCTCAGCTTATTCAGTGTACTTCATTGAAGTCTCTGCTCAAATGTCTCATCAGAGAGGTTTACCCTCAGCATCCTATGTAAAACAGCATCCCCCATCATTCTTTATCCCCTTAGCCTGCTTTATTTTTCTTTATAGCACTTAGTATAATACATAATCCTGCAGATTACATATTGTTTATTTTCTGTCTCCTAACACTAGAAGGTAAGCTTTATTCTAGGAACTTTATTTTGTGTACTCTTAACTCCTCATCACCTGGCACATAATAAGTACTCAATAAGTACCTGTTGAAAGAATGTGCAAAGGCATGAATAAAATTATTTCATAAAATATGAGTAGAAAAAAGCACTATGTCTAAGTTACTGTATTTTATATAATAACATGCAAATAAATCAAATGTTATAAGTAGACATTTGGCTATTTAATTTACATCTCTAAAAGTTTAAGTAATGCATTTGGCCAAAAACCATTTTTGATCTTCTTACTGGGAATATGAGAGGAGGAAGGGTCACCTCATTTGGGCTCATTCAGTTTTCAGTCGTATAGAATCTATATCCAAAGCCTAAAAGGAGTTTTATAAATCAAAGTTTATAGCAACAATATCCAATCTTTTGAAATAAATAATAAATGAAATTTAAGGTTATTGTCTGTATGGAAAATAAATTTGCAAAAAAGATTAGTCTGTAATGGCCAGTTCTAATGTAAATATTGGTATATTAAGGCCACAGAATTCCATTGCAGCCTATAGAATATTGTTAGCTTATTGGATTCAATTGGTTAATTGCATGGAAGCTCTGTTTGTGTTGATTTATCTATTTGTGTATCAGGAATATTGTTTGTGTGTGTGTGTATTTGAAGCATTTCCATATATAAATCAAACCCGACTCATAGCACAACCCAGAGGCTAGATCCTGTGGGACCCTGTGGTTGTGGGTTTTCATACATTCAGCTGTGTGGGTGGTGCAGAATAGGTGGAGACTTAGATTTAATCAAGGTTGAGGTTTTGCAGGTGGGTATGATAAAGGGCAACAGCCCTGGTGGCATAGTGGTTAAAGCACTCGGCTGCTAACCAAAAGTTTGGCAGTTTGAACCCACCAGCCGCTTCACAGGAGAGATATGGCAGTTTGCTTCCATAAAGATTTACAGCCTTGGAAACCCTATGGGGCAGTTCTACTCTGTCCTATAGGGTCACTATGAGTCTACGTATGTTAAATGACTTTCATGTGGAAATGTTTCAAATAACATTCCATGTCAGTTTTTCAGTGAAACTTGTGCTCTTATCGTTTAAAGTAGTTCAGAAATCTAAACGTGAATTTTTTGGTGTGTGTATTTCAGCAGGTAAAGTTAATACAGAGTGAGACAGAATCATACTGCTTTACACTACCCCAGCCACCTCTTCCTGTAGTCCCCCTTATCTCCATCCTCTTCCCCCAACCAAGAAAGAAAGGAAAACATTATGCCTGAAAACAGGTTTTTTAAAAATAATCTTTTTCTTCTTTAATATTTAGGAACAAGTTCCAGTTCCAGTTTATCATCCAACACCTAGCCAGACTCGGCTAGCAACACAGCTGACTGAAGAGGAACAAATTAGGATAGCTCAAAGAATAGGCCTTATACAGCATCTGCCTAAAGGTGTTTATGACCCCGGGAGAGATGGATCAGAAAAAAAGATCCGGGAGTAAGTTTTGATAAATTTATACATGCTTTAATGGTTTTAGCTATTTATTTTTGAAAAATATTCTCCTGCATTTTAGAAATCAGATATTTAATACATTGAACACCTCTCAGTTTTGTGCAAGAGAATGTTTAGATGTAATAATAAAGAATTTTCATATAGAAATAGCTAAGAAATTATGGCATGAATTCTGACCATTTTATATGTTGCTTGTGCAATTGATGTTGATGTCAGTTAAAAATCATTCACCGGTGTTTGGTTATGGTTAAGGACAAGGTACCAACATTGCTGGTGGCCTTGTCAGCTGGTTTTTGGGAAGCAGTTTGGTAACGTGTCAAGGACCTTCAGGTCTGTATTCTTTGAGACAATAATTGTAGGAACCTATCCCAAAATGTGCACCTCATTCTCACCCCTAGAGCTTTATGCACAAAGATATACACCATAGTCTTATTTAGGGAAAAAATACAAGGTGCGTAAATGTCCAATAGTAGAGATATAGTTAAGCAAATTGTGGTACAGTAATACTTTTGTAAGTTTTGCATCCACTAAAGTTGTTTGCTAAGGGTTTTAGTAAATGAGAAAACTCTTATAAATGATGGGGAAAAAAGGATGCAGAGTTACATATGTATTAAAATATGCACAGAAAAATAGCTGGAAGAATCTATACCACTATGTTAACATTGGTGAGTTTGTGGATAATTTTCCTAATTGAGGATGGGGAGGTGCAGGTATGTGGAGAGTGGAACACAGAAAAGGTATTGAGAATTGCGCTTTAGTTAAAATGCCAACGAAGAAAGCTTTCTACGTAAGTCACCATTTCCATAAACCTTATCTATTTCTTAATTTGGGGAATAATTTTATTAGGCCTGATGGATTGAGGGTAAAATTTTACTTGTGGGGAATTTTTGTCCCTAAGGCTTGTTACAGTCTGTGAAAATTCCTGATGAGGACAGCCATTCTTCTGTTAGGTTGAGAATGGCCTCACCACCATAGACACAACCCAGTTTACTATGTTGATGTTAAATGTGACTGTTTGAGACACTTAACATATTGCAGAAACCATAGCACCATTTTAGTGCTGGTAGTTAAAAGCACATTCCCTCTAGAATACTGACTTCTGAAACATTTGCAGAATTAGGTTGCTTCATGAACCTGTTGAAAAGTGCCATGAAATTGAAACTGAGGTTAGTGAAATGAAGAGAGCTTTAGAAGTTTAAGCCTTAAAGCAGCCTAGTAAGTAGGATGAAATTAGTTTTTCTTTTTCTACATATAGTTATTAAAATCATCATTAGAAAATGGTCTTACTCCTGGGCTAGCATTTAAAACTCAGTACAAGGAAACAAAAATTATCATACAAAATTTGTTTGACTACTAAAGTTAATCTAACTGGTGCTTTCCTACCTAAAGCATCAAATTTTGCTGCAAGTGTCTTCTATAACATGTAGCTATTTTACAAGCATAGTTCTAGCAATGGACTTGATCCCCGTGTGGTCCATTTCTCCTTGCTCTGTTGATTGCTCTCAACCTGCAGATTCCCAGGGGATTCGAATAAGAGAATGGGGATATATCAACACTTATTAAGAAAACAATTCATGTTGCATACTTTGGTGGTGGAATGACAGGCAAGCCATTTTTATGTGTAGCTCAGATTCGCACTGTTTTTGTAATGTATTCTAGATTAGCCACTTCTAACAGTGCTCTCTGATTTATCTTTCTTGCCCCAACAGGTGTGTGATCTGTATGATGGACTTTGTTTATGGGGACCCAATTCGATTTCTGCCATGCATGCACATCTATCACCTGGACTGTATAGATGACTGGTTGATGAGATCCTTCACGTGCCCCTCCTGCATGGAGCCAGTTGATGCAGCACTGCTTTCGTCCTATGAGACTAATTGAGCCAGGGTCTCTCGTCTGACACTTCAAGTGAACCATCATTTTTGGTGGTTTTGATCTTTTGTCACTGAGCCCAAAGAGCCAGGGATTAGGAATTAAGATCATGCACAAAAGTTTCCTAAAAATTCCTGAATGGCTTCAGATGTTGGGGAAAAGTACGTGATATTTTAGAAACTTAGGGGTAAAAGTAGGATGGTATTTTTATGTAAAGCCTTGACCCAGTGTGTAAAAAATATAATTGTATTTAGATCTTGTTATTGCTCCAGTACATAGGAATTGTGTAAAGTGTTACAGCAGCTGTATATGTTTAAATTGTGTGTATTGAAGATTTTATTAGGAAAAAGATAGTGGTTATTTTTCCTAAATGAAATAACTTTCTTCTTCCCACCAAAATTCTTTTCTGAAGTTGCTGGCATTTGGGTCAAGGTTTTATTAAAAGCTACGTTTTATAACACTGGCACAAAAAAAAGTAGTTTTAAGCTTGTTTGCACAGTTCTTTTTTTCCATTGGAAATGGAATCCATTGCCTTAGGTCTTTTTAAATAGTGTATTATTATCGTTGGGGCTGGCTCTATGCTTGAAAACCAGTTTATTTATAACCTGTCTAAAGTGCTATATTCTGTTTGCAGTTAGGAAATGCAGAATTCAAAGTGATCTCCTAGCTTGTAAGCAAACTGAGATGCACTATCCCTTTTCTATAAAAAATGAGTTAATGTGTCAAGAAACCAACACTAGTAAGGTGGGGTTTAATATTACCCTTTCCTGTGTGTTTTATCTAATTATTTTGGTTGTTAATATGGTGGTAATTAAAAGTCAAAGTAAATTTTAAACATTAACATTTCTGATTTTTTTCGCTCGCATTATGCCACAGGCTTATGTAAAAATGAAAGTGGCACCATGGTGAAACTTAGAGAAAAAAGTTCCTCAGTTGTAACAATTTTGATTTATTTTCTTCCCTGTGCCCTCCTTCCCAAGGTTGTCTTGAACCATAGCAAAAGGATACTGCATCTCTAATTACTGTAGTGCTGAGGTTATTAAAGTTATATAATATACATCTCAGTCTCTGTTTCTTGGAAAGCTATCTGTTAAGCCCTGCTAACTGACTGACAAGTCTTCTAAGCAGGGAGAATTAAAATTAATGTATTTCATGTTTTGCACACAAATACAGAGTTTGTATAACCACATGACTTCATAGTTGTGATCTCAAAAAAGGAATTTCTCTTTTGTCTTTTTCTTGCAGTTAATGTAAGAATACTATGAATCTCTACCCTTCTGAAGTGTTTTTGGTACAGGTGGTTTAGTAAAGATGTAGTAGTAATGTTTTATCCATTTAGCATGTGTTTATTTTTTCTTATGTACTCAAAGGTGACCTAATCGTTCAGCTTGGTGATACTACAGCTAAAAAAATCATTCATTAGCAAAAGGAGAAGCAGTCTTAACCTAACAAAGAAATTAGAAGTGTTTCTTATTATTTTATATTGAGTTAAATATTTGACTCTCTAACACTTTTCTACATGCAAAAAAATACAGGTATCTTGAAGGTTCTTCATAATTGCATTATAGAGGAATTTAGTATGTTGTAAGTACTTTTTAAAGATTTGACGTTTGGCTGTAGTATCCGTATGCTGATTGATTTCCTTATGAGCCCCATGATGGAAAGATTTTAAGATGAATTTGAGGAAAGTTGAAAGAAATTAGATTATCAGGTTCTGTTAAATTGTTAGATGTATCTTGCTTAAGTTTTTGTTGATTAATTTATATCCACCCAATTATATAAAGCAAACTTGGAGGAAACACCTGAAGTTGTGCAATATTTTCAGTGATAATGCTTTTTTATCTTTGTGTTTTCTACTTAAACATGATGTCTATATCACCAGGTATTATAGCCAGACTTTTTTTTTTTCTAGATTGTTAAAATTGGTAAATGAACTTTTTTTAAAAATTATTTTCCATGTTACTGTTAGTCTTTCTTTATTGCAAGGCTTATCTCACAGAAGTTTGACAGTACTATTGAAGGAACCAGTATGAGCTGAATTTTTTTTTAAAGGCACTTTGTATGCTTTAATTTGATCTCCACATACAATGTTAGGAACCATCAATTTTGGCTTTTACTAAGTTGTTAAATAAAGTTATATGATACAGTTGTAAAGGGCTGAAGTTACAGTTGATTCCATAAGAATATTCTCCAAGTTATCTAATCTTTCTTTAACACAGTGATAATATAAATTTAATTAATTATTACCTTTTAATCTCTAGGTGTACTTACTTTTGAGAAGTATATTTTTTATTGCTTGGCAATTAATATACCATCTAATAAACCATATGCTTAGAAGCTTGATAGCTTCAAAATTTCCAAAGCCAAATAAATAATGGGTGCAGCATGTTTAGATTTGGACAAGATGTATTTAAGCTTGGCTTTTTAAATACTATTTTAAAGTTTCAAATTAACTGTAGGATTTGAAAGATCTGCTTTAGTTTACACAAACTTTTCTCAATCCTACAGGTGTAGTTTGTAGGGAATCTCTTAAAATCAGGTGTTAGAAAACTCCCTAGAGTCTACCCTGTGATATAAGACCATTTGATTTTACAAAATACAGTGAGCATTGAGGTAAACTCTCTGGGTACAAAGCTCCCTTATAAGAAATCATTCATTTTTTTAAAAAGGAATAACACTTAATAAAGTAGTCAAAAGCAGAGCTACCTGCGGTCCTGAGTCTGAGAGCAGTAAACAGGATCAAAGATAAGCTTCTTTAGGCATAATTCAAAAGTGTAGGCAGTTTGGTAGCTATCTCTGCTTATACAAGCAGTGACTAGCAGTATGTCTCAGAATTGATTTATGCTTGCATATAAATACATCTTAGCCAATGTAATAACCTCAACTAATTTTTTAAACCTTTAATTTTAGAATTAATATATAAGAAAAGTTGAATATTTGGATAGTATCTCCTGAAATATTATTAAATTTACTTACCTGAATTCAAAGATCCTCTGCTCTTTTCTTGGGTGAGGGAGGAGTCAGAGCAGACAGTTTATGGACACTCCTTCTGTACCCTGTCTATACAGCTCCCCTGCCTCCAATCTTAAACTCAACTAGACCATGATTCCTAGGTGCCAGTTTTATAATTTCAAGTATTCATGTATCCAGCTATTTCAAGTAGTACTACTTTTGTTCCTTAACACCTGTCCCATTTTCTGGAGTCCTGGAACTCTATTCATATAAAAATAAATAGACCTGGATACAGGATACCTCTATCATGGGAGGCAAGGGCGTGGGAGTCATCACAGTCCTTTTGCAGGCACTGAACAGTCTTCTTATTACATCTTTTGGGAGCTTAGCTGATTTCTTTCCAATTTCTTCCCCCTTGGCCCCAGTTTCTAAGCATTTTGCCATTGGGATCTCTTGTTTTCGTCAGCTTCATGCCCCTCTAGTCATAAGAGGCTATTTAACACTCCTTCTGCTCCCTTTAGGAATGAGTATTATAGCTTAGCCTGCTTGTTAAAAGATTGGAACCACCCATTCATCTCTTTAAATATATATATTTTTCCTCTTAGGAAAGGTATACACAAAACCTAGAAGTTTAATTGTTAAATACAGTAAAAATGTCCAGCCAATAACCATGATTGTATTGACTGTATTACTTACTGGCCTACCTTTAAAGGTGAGATTTTCTTGACAGGTATCAAAAATAAGTCTCTGAAGGAATTTTTTTTCTCAGTTCTGTATATGTCAAAAGTCTGAAATAAGGGAACCCCAGAGAAAAGAGCACTGAACCAGGGATCAAGAAGGCTGAGTTCTGTCACATCTGAACCCAACTATTGGGTGACTGACTCCAGACAAGTCATTTTGTTTCTCTGAGCCACGTTTTTCCCACCTGTAAAATGAGAGGATTGGTAGACCAGTGGTTCTCAAAGGCCAGGACAGCTAGAACACAATCACCTAGGGCTCTGTATGTTTGCTAGAAATAGAGATTCCCAGGCCTCATCCCAGACTCATTAAATCAGAGTGGGAGAGGAGAGGTAGGAATGTATCATTTTAAGCAAGCTTTCCAGGTGATCCTGATGCAGTAGCAGGTTTTGGACTTGGTAAATGATCTCTTCCTACAAATGTGAGATACGGTTTGGTACTTGCTTTGTTCGCTTCCTGAGAAAATGACAAATACAAACTGCTGACGGACAGGGTAACGTGGGATATGGATGGGACTTGCTCACAATTCAGAATTATTCAGGGCTTTGTTGGTGGTGGTGGTGTTGGTTGCCATTGAGTCAGTTGTGACTCATGGTGACCTTATGTGCCTGGGTGGTGCAAATAGTTAAGTGCTCGACTACTAACCAAAAGGTTGGCAGTTCAAACTCACCCAGAGGCACCTCTGAAGACAGGGCTGGCAGTGTGCTTCTGAAAGGTCACAGCCTACTCTGCACACGTGGCACCATTCAGGCCTTTACTTTGTGGTAATTCAACACCAGTGAAATGAGTTTAGTGGAGTAACTATGTTAATGTTTAATGGCATTATATAAACATTTTAAAATACAGGTAGTCCCCAGCTTACAGTGGGGTTCTGTTCCGACGACTCAGTCATGTCGGTTCTAACGTAAGTTGAATGTCACTTTTTTTTTTTTTTAGTTTTCGTTAGTATTGCCTTTTGTTATCAGTTTATAAATCTGATCTTTATTTGTCTTTAGGGGTTGGCATGAGAATGATAACATCAGCACATTACGTGCTGCAACACTGTAGGTAGTACATATTACTAACTTTAAGTTGTACAAAGAAAAGACTGTTGTAAGTGTGGTTCATTGTAACTCAAATAGTTGTAAGTTGGGGACTACGTTTAGTACTTTTTCAAAATGGTTTAAAAGATATAGTAAGTCTATAGTTTATGTATTCAGTGAAAACTAACTAGACTATTTGTTAGCTCTGCACATAAAGTATATTTTTAATCAGAGAAAAATAACCTCCCACCAGCAGCACCATCCTTTTTTTTTTAAGCTTCTAAGAGTTACATTGCAACACATTAAAGTTTATACTAAAATAACATATAGAAATGAATAAATGGATGAGGCACATGTATTCTGGGAATATTGGTTTAAATATACTTTGTGATCCTCTTTTTGAGAACCTCTGGGTCTAAAAACATGCCACAAAAAATGATTAGCCGACTTTTGGATTTTAACCAGTCTACAGCAGGTGCTTGGTGATTATTCAGAGGTTGATTGTGCAACCATGATTTTCAGACTTCTTGCTGTTTCATTTGTCGTTTGTCAGTTTTCCTTGCTCTTTATCAGGGAAACAGAAAACCTAAATGAGTCCCTTTGTAACGTATTTTCTGATCCATAAAATTTTCATTAGTAGCACCGGTAAAATTTTATAAAAGGGTTTTTTATCTGCAGGTTTCAGTTGTCCACGTAGTTGTTGTTTGCTTTATCACGTGAGCAAGAGGCATTGACTCAGGACAATAACTGGAAGCATTTCACAAATGTTACTAATAAGCTAAAACCACTTTTCATGTGAAGTAATTTTTTTAAAGAAACTTTGGGAGAGAGATGGCTGCTTTCAATTGCCTAGTATAAATATTTTTTCCAGGAAATATAAGAAATTTTTTTATTAACCCAGAGCTAGATACTCACTTTTTGTTGTTGTTTCTTGAGAAGAGTTACTGTCCATTGGTAGATTTTATTATTTTTGGATGCTTTTCACAGAAGGTTTTTGCCTGTGAATGAAGCGGCATTATCAGTAAGGCACAGAATTCAGGCAGTAAAACTAATTGTGATCAAAAGAGGAGCAGTGTCTGTTTGCTCTGAGCCCTTTTACAACATCAGTGCTCGCAGGCTTCAGATTTCTTGGCACTGTGAGAAAAAGAAACTGAAAAAGGTAACTGAGGGCTTGTCCCAAGAGCTGGGCATAGCAGTGTACTCCAAATGCCTGAGAAGATTTGGTTGCCTGTGCAAAAGAGAAAGATGAGCCCAACTTCTCTCTGGGGCCCACCATATTACCTTATCCATTCAGTTAGGACCTGAACGCAAGTCTTCGGCATTGTGTGAACTGAGAAGTTGGAGCATGCTGTCAGAAAGCATTTGAGTTTGGCTTCCAGCACTATTCTTACTATTCGTACTAGTGGTGCAGGAATAGGCTTCACTCTGCCAGTGCCAAGAATCAGAGCTAACCCTGCAGCTTTGAAACTACAGAGTAATGATTGTCTGCCCATGAGGATAGCTGAGTTTAGCAAACAGATTACAAATTAATAGCTGCAATTGGGAGTGGAGGTGGGAGGGAGGGAAGCTGATTTTCACAAACCATTTGTCCTCGTGACCCTTGCTTACATACTGATAATTACTATCTGTAAGGAGACATGAGGAAGAGTAATTCATAAATACTGTTCTGGTTGTGAGACAGGTGCTGTTATGAGTTATTACCACAGTTATTACAAGTGCTGCTTTCAGAACTATTTATTAAAATTCGAGTTAACAGTGTTGGAGATACCTTTAGTGTAAGAAATCCTGTTTGTGGGTATGGATTTTGATAAACTGCTGATTTCCTGTGAATCGTGAACCTCCCTAACATGAAATGCCAAACTCACGCTGACTTGTAGTGCCTGGTTATCACTTAGCATGTTGTAAACATTCTTCTTTCCTAAGTCTAGTTGTTGATGAAGAGAAGATACAGTATTTTTATAATTCAGACAAACCAGGGCCAATTGACTGGAGACCTTCAGGATGGCACCAGCCTCCTAACTGGTTTCCATGTTTAACCCTATATGATACATTCTTCACACAGCAGCCGAAATAATTTTAGGTGAATAAATTGGATTATGTCACACACACACACACACACACCCTTAAAACTCTAATAGCTTCCCACTGCACTGAGAATAAAATCGGAATTCCTTATCAGGGATGAATTGGCTTTCTGCCTGTCCAGTTTAATAGTATGCTACTGTCTAACCTCATGGACCTTCATTTTGTGCCTCTGTAATGCCAAGCTCTTTCTTTTCTCAAGTCTCTTGGACTGTAGTTTCTTCTCTGCAACCCTAGATTGTTCAGATGGCTGGCTTCTTATCCTCAGGGCCTCAGTTTAAATGTGGGCTGAGGGTTCAGACAGGTTTTCTCTGACCAGCCTATCTAAAGTAGCTTGCCCTTCCTCCCCAACCAATAAGTTTTCCTATCACATTTCCTATTTATTTACTTCATGCCTCTAATTCTTTGTGTACATGTATGTCTTCCCTACCAGAATAAGCTTCATGAGAGCAGGACAGTAGATGTTCAACAGATGTTAAAAGAAGGGAAGGAAGAAACAGGGAAGAAGTTCTAAGGAATCTGAGCCTCTCTGATGGAAAAGGAGCTGCCATCAAGGAGGTTTGCATTGGAAAACTGAGATCTTATAAAGGAGAATCTTGAGGGTGGCAAAGAGAAGGTCAGAGCTCTTCCTGAGTGGGCAGCTTTCTGATAAGCCTTGTCTATAAACAGTACCATGAACTACACCCACTGTTCTCATCCTCCCCTGTACAGGAGCAGGTCATAGCTCCTGTATATCAGTTTTTGAAAGAAGGAACATATAATGGGTGTATGTTTTTGTCCAGACCCCATCTTCTAATAATAACCCCCAATGAGCATATGACCCAAGATGTGCCAAACAGTACCTCACTTCCTAAAGCAGTGGTTCTCAAACTTTAGTGTGTATCTTGTATACCTGGAGGGCTTGTTAAAACTCAGATTGCTGGGCCTAACCCCCACAGTTTCTAGGTCTAGATGGGGCTTGAGAATTTGCATTTCTTACAAGTTCCCAGGTGATGCTTATGCTGCTAGTCTGGGGACTATGCTTTGAGAACCCCTGGTCTAAGGGATGAACATGGGAGCAAAGCCAAGAGACAGAGAAGCCCTGCCTCTGGATTCATCATCCCTTGGGCCAAATCCATCACTGTCTTCCCACAGTGGATATGTAGGCCAATAAATTTCCCTTCTTAACATGATAGGGAGTGTTGTAGGCTATTAAATAATTTCTTTTTCTTCAGCAACCCTATGAAGCAGCTGACATTAGCTGCATTTTACAGAAGAGTAGACTGATTCTTAAAGAGGTTAGGTAGTTCAACCAAGTTTTGAATCGGGTCTGTGCTTTTATCCATTCTCCCACGTAATTAATACAACTTGAAGTTGGGTATTTTTAGTAGACCCGGCTTCTCTGAATTTGCTTACAATCTCTTTTCCATAGATAATTACAAAAAAGTCAACTCTAGCCCAGGAGTTAGATTTCTCACCCATGGGTCACTTTGACCCATAGATGTGATGAGTTTGGCCAGTTCAGTATTTAAAAAAGTTTTTGAGCACCTTTAGCTTCATGTGCTTCCCAGCTTATCCATGTTCCTATCTCTTATTGTTTTATACCAGACCTCTTCAGGCTTACCATTTGCCCCTCACTCAGTCAAGGCCTGCAGCTCTGCATATGTGTATCTCTGAGTAGCCAACTAGAACTCTACCTACCCAGGGATTAGATCATGCCTTTTCTTTCATCTTCCTTTTATGGTTTTATGAGCAAATACTGTTGCTTAAGGGTTAACTTTTCTCTCTCGGCTTTATCAGAGTTAGACCCTCACCCTACCTCATGATGCCAAGTGGCCAAGGGGAGTCATGCCCAGAGATGTATGGGTCCATGTGTTCCAAGCCAAGGATTTCTAGTGTTGCAGTCATTAGCCAGTCATTAATTAAAGGGGATAATGAATAAAACCACAGACCGAATTAAAAACGTAGTTGAACTACTTCACCTCAATGTAACTCAATTTAAACTGATAATTTTGTGTCTTGGCCAGCAGCTAGCATCCCCACTGCCGTCAAGCTGATTCTGAATCATGGTGATCCCATGTGCTTCAGAGTAGAACTGAACTCCATAGGTTTTCAATGGCTATAGTTTTACAGAAGTAGATTGCCAGGCCTTTCTTCCAAGGTGCTGCTGGGTGGATTCAAACCGCCAACCTTTCAGTTAGTAGTTGAGCACAAACTGGGCCACGTAGGGACCGTAGTTCGTAGAGTAGTTGTGAGGATTAAATACATGTAAAGTGCTTAGAACAGCAACTGGTACAGGGTGACCACTTAATATTAGCTGTTATTCTTTCCCCCAGAGCATACGGTGTCTGGTTTTCTGAAGTGTTTGCTAATGATGTGAAGGAAAAAACCAAAAACAAACCCAAAAATTCAGTCATTTGTGAGGTGTTAGCTGTTATGTCTCTGATTAAACTTGAATGTCAACTTTTAGCAGTCTATGGTGACTTTTAGTAATTGCCTGCCTTCCCAAGGGACTCTATTACATTTTGTCGTTTAACAGTTGAAATTATACAGTAGAAGCAATTAATAGATTGCTTATTTGGAAATGGATTTTTCAAGCCCATAAATGAGGCTTCTTGTTTGTGGGCTTACCCTATAGGGCAGTAGTGAACTTTGTTCCAGACTTCAAAGGAGCTGAGCTCACCCAAGCAGAAAGGCACTTTCCAACCTTGGAAAGCTGCATCTGAAGGTGGGGGTGAGAAGTTCCCATTTACTGCTTGGATTTCGGAATACAGGCACCTCTCATTTATTACTGAATGTGATGGTGCTAGGCATACAAGGAAACACTTGTTGAAAAGACACTCTGTTAAGCTTTAAATTTGAAGGAAACAATGGAGGTGCTCCCCATCATCTTAGAAGAAAAAAACTCGGGAGTAACTCCAGAGAAAAGTATCTTTGGATTTTATTCCCTTGTTGAATGATTTCTAACATTCAGCAACCTGGGGCTTTCTGAAAACCTCCTGGTGCCATTCTTCAGTTGCTGGGACTCTCCCACCTGGACCATAGCCAAGTCTTAGGTTGGAGTTGGCCTTTTAGGGTCCTGGTTAGGTCATGGCTTTTTGCTGTGAATGACGATAGCTGTCTTGGAAACACTCCCACTCTGACTCTGGAGATAAGGAGTAGGGAAGCCTGCCAACACGTGGGGGAGCTGATAGGGACCAGCGCCCTGCTGCAAGCCTCCCTGCGAGTCCCAGGGTCTGTGCCCAGTGAGAGGCAGACGTAGGTTTTCTGTTGCCAAGGGCCTGTTCAGATCATGTTACGCAGTTTCTACTTCCTTAGCAACTGAATTCATCTGTGTGGCACAGGATTTAGACTTTTCCTAAATGAGGATACTTGCTCTCTGGGTATGCTGGGCTACTGTTGAAACCCCTGGTTGAGGAAGCTTATTATTTCTGGTCAAATGGCTTGGGGACACAAGGCTTTGGCAGAAAGGTAGAGACGTGTGTATCTCTTGCCTCATTTTGCAGATGAAAACCCAGAAACAGACTTGAAGAAGTTAGAGAGCAGGAGCCTTAATGTAGTCCAAATTACTCAGTTTTAGAGGGCCCATGACTTTCCCAAGGTCTCTCTGAAAATCAGTGGCAAGGCAGGGACTAGAATTCATGTTTCCTTATTTCTAGGCCAAAACTCCCCACCTGCCTGTCCAGGGCAGATGTGCTAGAAAGGTCTACACTATTGGAGGCACGGTGACAGAAATGACTTGAAGACACAATGAGACGTCTATGGCAAAATTTCCACCTCAGAGGCCCCCAAACAAGGATATGGTGTTGTCAGACACCCAACGGTTTCACCCTCCTTCACGTAAATGTTTCTGATCAACTATCTCAAAAGCTGCAGGTGGGGTAAAGGAGACAAAACCCAGTGATTTGTCTTATCAGCCAGGCTGCAACCAGCGCAGCAGAGGTAAAGGGGCCGTAGGCTAATTAACGAAGCCCTTCAGGAAATAACAACCAATGTTGACGAGGAAACTATCCTGGCATAAAACTGAAAAAATAATAAAAGCAAACGCACCTGAAATGCATGTTGAGATAGTTCTTTTTTTGTAAACTGCAGTGTTTTGCAAGTTATGTTTGGTATCCCGTGACCAGTGCTGCTTTGATATAGCTGTGGGTAGCATTTTAATACGTAGGGAAGCTACAAAAGGCCTACCCTCATTCAGCAGCTCATCTCTAGTCACCCTCTCATCATGTCCTACCCAACAGCCTAGAAACAGGTTGGTCACCCAGCATCCAGGCTTTGAAGGAGAGGTTGCAAAGGGTTTGCACTCTATGGAGAGCATTCTTTTGTCTAATTCTGACAAAATGAAAAAAATAGTTTTCTTGTAGCACTGCTACTCTGAAGGAACTAAGTGCAAAGGAGGATCTTGGATCAGGGTTGTTGTTGTTTTTCTAACGAGAATATGCTTTACCTAAAAACCCATGACATCATTCAGTCTCAGACATAGGAGATTGGTTGACTGTATGTTAATATATTAACCCAGCCCCTGGCAGTTGCTCAAAGTGTTTGCTAAATACAGCAATGCTGGGAGACTGGGAACGTTGCCTGCCGTTTTCCCCTGTAGAGATTGTATTTATGCGTTTGGAGAGTCACATTTTCAGAGATGGATATTGTTACTTTGTTTTCCCGCCAGGGAAAATGGTAAGTTGAAGTGTGCTGTCATTAGATTGTAAATGGTAAAACTCAGTGGTGGTCACTGGACTTGAATTCTCACTTTAACAGACCCAGAGGTTGGGAACTCAGATGCTCTTAGGAGCGGGCAATAAATGCTTAAAGCAGCCTCTGCTCAGCTCCAGCTGATTGTTGTCCAGTGGGAATGTGGGTTCAATGCTGCCATTTTTTTTTTTTTTTTTTTAATAAGAAGAGGCCAGAAACCAGATTCATTTGTGAAATCTCCCCATTTTTAAACGTTGGCAACTTACTCTAAAATTTTTTAAATATTCTGTCTAAATAAAATCATACATGGGCCATATGACTTCTGATTCAGCCTTTCTGCCCTCCCCAAGAATTCAAGCAACACATATTTTTTGAAATAGATGTTGCATGATTTCTTTTAAGTATATAAGTTTTATATTACTTAAATATCTCTTCTCCCTTAACTGAAAAATCTAAAACATATACAACAGGCCAAGAATGACCGTTCTATTTCTGAGAAAAATGCTGTCAGAAAATAACTGTGCCTTGGAGTAAAGTACAGAAGATTAATTTTTATGTTTCATAAATTATTCCCAGTGGTTTCAGGTTGGCATATAATGAGGATGCAGAATGAGAACCTGTGAGCACCTCCCTCCACTTCCTGGCTTTGGCACAGAAAGGGCCAGAAAAGCTTGTCTCCCCTCAGGCCTCAGCATTCTCCACTCCCTACTGGTGGGAGATTGATTTTTCTACAGATGATCTCAAATGAAATTATGTCACTAAAAAGATGTATTTGATTTTTCATTTGGAAAGTTACAAAGGATGTGAAAATGAAGTGTGAGAAGTAAGTAAGGTAGCAGGTGTCTGTGTGCCACCTCTGCCTCTACCCAACCCCCAGACGAGTCAGAGCCTGAGGCACAGGCCCTCCTGGACAGTCCCCAGTGCCTCTGAAAGGAAGGTCCTTCCAGCCTCCCGGAAGCTGAGGCCTTTCTGAAGTTTGAAAAACAAGTTGGCCTTTGGCAACATATAAGAAGATTCCCTCCAGATCAGTATGGGTTAAAACAAAGCTTTACAGGTGGTTGGTGGTGGTTTTTGTTGTTGGGTATTTTTTTTTTTTTTTTAGCCAACTACGATCCCATCAGTGTATTTCTAAGGAAAATGTAAACTGTTCATACATTCTCTTAAACATCACAGTGAAAAAAACAAGTACCCGTATGTGTGTTAGGGCAGGCAGAGGGCTCCACCTGCTCTGTCCTTGGCAAAGGCCCTTGGCCACACGGGGGAAAATGCCAGCTTTGCTTCAGCACGGATACCCATGTTGTGCCATCCCGCTGGAGCACCGGTGGGCCCCAAAGGCAGGGCAGGGCAGGAAGAGAGATCTTTTTGAAATGTTTCTAGGAGCTCTGTCCAGCTGTCTTTGTTCATCTTCCAGCCCAGGAGTGCTGTACAAAGCTACAAGGACACCGATGAGATCATGGCTCTGCTGCCATTTTCTAGGGAAGACTTGGCTTGGAGCATGGCTGCCTGGATTCGAAAGTGTGTCCTTGACTCCATGGAGTAGTTCTTGTAGTTTTGCCTGGAAGACAACAGAGAATCAGACACATGCAGCTGCTCCAGGAAGTCCTTCTTCTTCAGACTGAGCTGTGGGAACTCACTGGTCATAAAGGTTTAAACCCCTGTCCATATCCAAAGAAAGGGCTGGGCCCTGCCCAACAGGAGAATTAGCAGAAAGGGTATGTGGTCCCTCACCCCTGGTAGCATGCCCTCTGGAACCACTCTTAGTCCTGTTGAGTCTTCAAGCTTGAGGAGGTGGTTTGGGGAGATAGGTCCCTGGGCTGGAAAGCAGACCTGCATCTGAACACCAGCCTGGCAGCTTACCTGCGGTGTGACCCTGGACAACTCACTCCCTCCCTCTGGGATTCGAATTCCACGTCAGTAAATTGAGGGAAAAGCCTTGCCACCCCAGACACGCACCCTGCCTCTGGACTGCCACGTGCCTCACATCTGGGCTGCCACATGCCCCACATCTGGGCTGTCAATGCTCCACATCTGGACTGCCACATGTCCCACATCTGGGCTGCCACATGCCCCACATCTGGCCTGCCACACTGGTCTTGCCAGCAACCTCAATCACTGCTGCCTGGGCTTCTCTGTCCCCAGCCAACTGGGTGAAGCTTCTGAGCTCAGGAGGGAGCGGAGGACAGGGCGAGGCTACCTAAGCCTTACTTGGCAGTTTCCAAGAGTTTGATGGCCTCTTCATTTCTGCCTTGTTCCATAAACAGCAGGGCAAGTTCCAGCAGGCCATTTGGGATCAAGTAATGGTCATATTTAATCTTCTTTTCACTGCAGAATAGAGGAGGACATGGCTTACGGGCTCTGCCCTTGAGAAATCCTTCAGGCTCATCCTCCTAACTCGTCCCAGAATGGGAGGACCCACCCAAGTGTTCATGTGGGGTTTTCTGATCTGAATTCCAGCTTGGGAAGGTCCCCACCACCTAGCCCTAGAAAGCCTGGGATCCACGGCAGAGCCTTCCTATCCCCCAACTCCCTGACAGCTATGGCTCAGCTCATGTTCTTAGTCTACCCCCACCTTAGCCCTCCAACCCCCTTTTTCCCTAGATCGAATAGTTTATTAAATTGGGAAGTCTGTCTTTGATTTGACCCACCCTCCACGCTGCCTGGAGACATCGTTTTAAAACCCAAACCTTCCACGCACTCCCCTGCCCAGTGGCCTTCCCGGCTCTCTCTTTTTAATAAGCAAAACATCCAGGACCTTCTCAGGCTGAGCCACTAGGGCTCCTCCTCAGGCTAGCCCTCCTCACTTCATCTTCAATCCTTCCCCTCTGTAACTTTACCCAGACAGGGAAGGACTTAATCACTGTCACCCCAACCTCAGGTCTCTTTCCTGTGTCCAGGCATTCGTACATATACTCCACTTAAAACTCTCCCTTGCCATCTCTGCCTGACAAACTCACCAAATTCACACGTCACCTCTAGGAAGCCTTTCCTGGTCTCTCCTGTCAGGGTTATGTCCCTCCTCAGAACACCCGCTGTCCCTCTGCTTTCCTCTAGCACAGCCCTAATCATACTAGACTGGGTCGCCTGTGGCTATCCCTTTGTAACATTTGAGCTCCCCAAGGGCAAGGCCAGAGCTTTCATGGCACAGTGGTTAAGACCTACAGCCGCTAACCAAAAGATCGGCAGTCTGAATTCACCAGCTGCTCCTTGGAAACCCTATGGGGCAGTTCTACTCTGTCCTGCTGGGTCGCTATGAGTCGGAATCGACATGATGGCGAGGGGTTTGGTTTTGGTTTTTAAGAGCAAGACCAGGGCTGCTGCATTACAAACTCCAAAGGGCACCATTCACATGAAACTCACTGTGGTTGGGCTCCTGTAGTTGGATAACCTGGTGGTCCTAGGAGCTGGGTCTGAATCATCTGTGCCCCGTGTCCAACACAGGCCCTGGCACGACATAGGCACCAGTGCATGCGTGGTGAATGGGGGTAGGCTAGGGTTGGCTCGGTAGTAGGTGTGAAGATGGAGAAGCCCTGAAAATTCTACCAGAGAGCCCCAGGTCCGAAGACCATGTGGAGCAGTTGCAGCCACAGAGACACTTACTTGGCAGAAATGCTCCTGAAATTCTCTTCAGCCTCGTGGACGCGGCCCAGGTATTTCAGACACAGACCTTTCAGCAATTTCACCAAGCACTCATCATCCACTGAGTACTCGTTCTCTGAAAATAGGGGTGTGAGGGAAGAAGACAGGCTTGTCAATTTTTCACTTGTTCATTACTGTAGCAGTTGCTACTCTGTACTGGGCCCAGTGACACAGATAACTAGACATGGTCCCCGTCCTCAAGGAGCTCACATTTGGGAAGGACAGACAGACACTGAGACAATGATGATACAGTGAGCTCAGGACTGGCCAAGGAGAGCTGAGGGGCTATGGGAGCCCAGAGGAGGCCCTGACCCTACCTGGGGACAAGGGACAGCTTCCTGAAGGAGCTGACATTGAAGATGAGGCTAGAAAGTCAAAGGACAGGGTAGAGAAGTGGGGAAGGGCATTTTGGGCAGGGGGAACTTTCAACTGTAAAGAACTGAAGTCAAACCCAGCCTGGCAGGTTCAAGGTAGGTCCAAAAAATCAAAACGAAACCCATTGCTGTCAAGTCGATTACAATTTATAGCGACCCTACAGGACAGAGTAGAACTGCCCCATAGGTTTTCCAAAGAGAAGCTGGTGGATTCAAACCGCCAACCTTTTGGTTAGCATCCAAGTTCTTAACCACTGCATTGCCAGGAAGCCTCAAGGTAGTTACCTGGGCCCTTTTCCAGCATCTCTTCGGCCCGGGTGATAACCTCGAGTATCCCATCCGTGAGTTCTCGCTGCTTCCCAATTACAGCGTAGCCATTCCAGATGTACATCATTTCCTAAAGGCAGGGAACAAAGGAGTCCTAGTATGCCTCCCCACACAGTGGGACACTCTGGGAGAGCAGCTCTTTCTGCCTTGAGGTATCTGAAGCCCACTCGCATCTGTTCCCCCACCCCTACCCCCAGGGGGCAGCAGTTCCTCAGAGGCAGGGGCTGGGTCAGACTCATCTGCACCCCTCTCCCTAGCCCCAGGGCAGGACACAGAAGACTGGCATCACAGGTGCTGAATGAATCTGAAACCCTCTCCAAGCCCCTGAGGCAGAAGTCTTTCTCCCTCACCCCACCTCCCCAGAGCCCACGGCTCTCATCCTGGCTCTCAGCTGATCCCACAATCCTAGCCAGAGGTGCAGGGCCAGTAAAGACGCTCTACCCACCAGAGCAGGGATTGGCAACGATATAGGGTTGGGGCAGAGGTAGCGTCTGGACTTCCGGATGGCAAACTTCTCTGTAGGTAGAGACTTGCCAGCAATCTTGAGCTTCAGGCCTGGCACAGCTCTGTGAAAGAGATGGGGAGGGTGGGAGAGAGGACTGACGGTCCCGACTGCCCGGCCTCTGCTTGGCCCCTCTCTGGGCCTCAGTTTCCCCATCTATATGATGAGAATATTAAACTCTAAAGAACTCACTAGGTCAGAAATAGCCTGTGGCTATGGCCTTACTTTACAGCCCTGTCCCAGGACCTGGCCACTTCCTGTGACTAGGAAAGGGGCGCCTCTACACTAGCTGGCTGAGGTAAGAACGTACCCAAATGCCCCCAAACCTGTTCTGCTTCCAGATTGTCTCTCCTCCACTCCCATGACCCATCTCCCAGGAGGGCCCAGTGGAAGGCTAACCCCATCTAACCCCACAGGGGGACCATCACCCAGAGAAGGGGCAGGACTTGCCCAAGACTGCACAGCTCAAACCTTTAATTAACTCTTGCCATGTAGGCTGTGGCCTCCTCAGCTGTTTCCAAGGGCAAAGAAAATGTGGTACACAGCTAGGCGAGCCTCCTCACCTCGGGCCTCGCCACCTGGCTCCATCACGGCCCTCCAATTTCTACCAGTCACTGGGTGTGCTGGGGCCTCAGGCCTGAGCCCAAGAAACAGCTGGACATGGGTGTGAGTTCCCCCCAGCACCCCTCCTGCTTATTTACTGTGGAACCTCTCTGGGCCTCAGTTTTCTCATCTCTAAAATGGAGATAATGATGCCAACCCTCACAGGTTTCTTGGAAGAGTTATATGAAATGGAGACAGGGAGTTCCTGGCACGCAGCAGGCACTTGGCAAATGATAAACAAGCTATTACTGTGACAGCAGCAGCCCCAGGAAGCCTGGGTTACACCCACTTTCAGGTCTGAGAAGTTGGGGCCACCCCTCACAGTGACTGGAGGAAGGTGGCAGGCCCCTCCCCCAGCCTGCCAAGGCTGAGAACTGTCTCCAGATGGCCCCTGATCAAACAGACCTTCTGGGGAGGCAAAAGTGGCAGCACAGATAAGAATAAAAACAGCCACCATTTAGTGGGCAGCTTAGTAGGCTCCAGACTCTATGCCAGGCTCTTTATATTTTTCATTTCATTCTCAAAACAACCTGCAAGGTCAAAGTTGTTATTCACATTTTATAGATGCTGAAATTGTCCAAGGTGACACAGCTAAGAAGTGGAAGAGGTTGGATTTAATCCTGTTTGTTTGATGTGAACTCTTGGGCTCTCTACTGTGCTTCTCTGAGTTATAAAGTTAACTCAGCAGAATGGCAAGGGCCTTCCCCTTTCTGGACCTCACTGTCCACCTCTGCCCTACTGACCAGATGAAGAGATTCAGCGGGGAGGATGCTGACAAAACCACTTTGTGAAAGAAAACCTGCAAGCAGATTCCAAGGGCTCTAGCAACAGAAGCAGCAGCAGCATGGGGTGGTGATGGGAGGGATGCTGGCACACGGCACACGGGGGATCCTGGGGGAGGGTCAGGGCAGCTCAGGGCCAGGAGAGATGACCACCTACCACCCCCTTCCTGGTGGCCACAGCTCAGGGTGGCCACAGGCAGAGCCTGGCCGGGCTGTCCACAGCTGAGGCCTGCGAGGGGGTGAACGGTGAGACCTACCTAAACAGCTCCACTTCGTCATCCCCGAACGGCTTGTAGTCCTCCTCCCCAAACATGCTGAGGTAGGCGGCCTTCATGTAGATGTAGGTGGCCTGTGCAAGACACAGCAACAGCCAGGTGTGAGCAACCTTCCCTCCAACTGCAGCCCTGGACTGGCACAAGTACCTCACTCGGACCTCACAATGGCCCACCACAGTACTAACAGCATCTCCGGATCTCAGGAGAGAAATTGAGGGTGAGGAATCTGAAGACACTTGAGAAGCTTTAAGTGGTGGAACTGGGAGTTAAATACAGGATGCACCCGTGCCAAAGCACCCGCCCTCTCTGCTCCGAAGGAGAGGAGAGAAGGACCTGAGCAAGTTGTACATGGGTGAGATGAGCTGAGGCTGAGATGGAGACACAGAGACAGGAAGAGCGCTCACAGCAGCAAGGGCTCCTGGGAAGAGACAACTTGAGAGCTGGCCCTTGAAGGACAATGAGAAGATGCACAGGGACCTGAGAAAGGGGCTTCCCAGCAAGGGGAACAGCCTGAACAAAGTCAGGGGTAGAGATGTGTGTAGGCAGGACACCAACAGGTAGCTAAGAGCATAGGATGCCTGAAGCGTGAGGTCAGAAAGAAGGGTAGGGCCCTAGGTCAGGGCTGGCTCAGGCTCCCATGATGCAACCGCCTTACTGTGTGTCAGGCACTTTACATACATCACCTCGCTTGATCCCAAAGGTGACAGAGAAGAATCTGTACCCCACCTCTGCTTGCTAAGAGCTGGGAGTACCCCACCTCTGTTCCCTGACAGCTGGGAATTGACCCCAGGTTTGTGTGGCTTCCACCAAGGCCTTCACCACTGGGTACACAGCCACCCCTGACAGGAAAGGTGAGGCTGTGCAGGAGACCCTCCTTACCCCTACCTCAGAGATCCATCCCTAAATGCCACCTCCTTCCCCAGGAGTCCCTGGATGGTGCAAACAGTTAACATGCTCAGCTGCTAACTGAAAGGCTGGTGGTTTAAATCCACCCAGCAGCCCCTCGAAAGAAAGACCTGGTGATCTACTTCTAAAAAACCAGCCACTGAAAACCCTGTGGAGCACAGTTCTACTCTGACACACGGTTTGCCACGGAGGACAACTGGTTTTCCTCAGACCAGCTGAAGAGGAGCCTATCTCTGTGCTGCCCTCCAGTGGCCAAGCCTGGAACTACAGCTGCTTCCTCGTGGTGCGGCTGCCAAGGCACTACCTACCTGCCAGAGGCCAAGAAAGAATGTAGGGGGTGGAGAAGAGAAGTGAGCAGGACATCCTGAGTCTAGTCTCTGGAGAAGGGGGAAGCAGCCTTCATTCAGCAGCCCCACACACACTAGATCCCAGGTCTCCTCCCAGGTTTTACAAAACGAGAAAAAGCCAGTCTCTGTGAGGTGTAGTGGGGAGAATCTTCCCTCGCCAAAATCTGTTCTCCATGCCGTCTTTATCTTCCCGGCAGCCCTGGAAAAAACCTGGTGTCATCCTTGCTGTCTCCCTTTCCCCCACCCCCAGACACTGAGTGTCTATGTCCTATGACTTTACCTTCGATCTAGCTCTGGAATCCCACTGCCCTTATCTCTCACCCCAGTTATTGCACCAGCCTCCACACCATCTCCCTGCTCCAGGCTCCTTTCCACTGCTCTGGTCCATGATGCCATCACCTAACCCAGTGGTCTCCTAACTGGTCTCCCTGCCCCCACTCCTACCTGCAAGCCATTTCTCACCGAAGCCACTCTGATCTTATTTAAGTCAGATCACATCAGTCTCTTCTTGAAATCTTCTGATATTCCATCACGCTTAGGATACAACCCAAGCTTCCTGCCATGGCCTGCAAGGCCCTGCCCAATCTTCTCCCAGTTTCCTCTCCAACTTCATCTCCAACCACTCCCCCCTCACTCACAACACTCCAGCCACACAGCATACCAAAGCACTCTTGCCCCCAAACTACAGCTTCCTCTGCCTGGAACACTTCCTTCAGGTTGCCACATGGCTTGCTCTTTACTTCATTCCGGTGTCTTCTCAGACAGGCTTGCATTTACCAGAACCCGACATTATGTGATACTGTACATCTAGTTGTTTATGTGCTTACGGTCTCTCCCCTGACTAGAATGTGAGCCTTGAGAGGGGGTCTTTGTTTTGTTCACTGTGGTATCTCCTGGCCTAGAGCAGAACCTGGCATGTGGTGGTGCCCAGCAACAGTAGGCAAGATTTCTAAACCACAAGCCTTCAAGGGCTTCCCACGGTCAGACTAAAGTCCCAACAGCCACTCCAGACCCTTCATGCCCTCTCTAAACTCCTTTACTGGCTCATCTTCTGCCATTTCCTCCTAAAACTTCATGCCAGGCCTTTCCTGTGCTGCTCCCTCGGCCTGGGACACCATCCCCCCTTCTCTGCCTGGCTCAGACTCTCCTCACCCTAACTTCCTCTAAGAGACTTTCCCAGCTCTCCCCAGAAGGCTCACCCTTAACTGAGCCACCAGGACTTCGGATGTGTTCAGTGGCTTAGAATTGTGAGGCTCATGGACAACCTAGTGATCAACGGATGTCATGGGGGCCACACTGATGGAAAATGGCAGCCACCTCCTCTGATGGGAGTCCTGTCTCCCCAGGGCTATTTGGCTGTTTTCCACCAACATTCATTTTGCTGTATTACTCTGCCAGGTCCTGTACCAAGTCAGACAGTTGTCTTTAAGAAGCTTATGGCAAGTAGCTCTGAGGAGGAAGAGTCCCTCCACAGTACCCTCTACATTCCACTCCTTGAACCTGGTGATACAGAACCTCTTGGCAGCACCCTGGCTTCCGAGTCTTTGCTCTTGCTATTCTCTCTGCTTGGAGTGCCCCCTTACTTCCTCCACTCCACCACCCTAATTCCTCCTCCTTCAAGACTCAGCTCGCCATCTCCTCTTCCAGAAGCCTTCCTTGTCCACTTGGCTGGGTTACTGCATGCTGTGTTGCCCCTAAGCTCCCCTGCACTGAGCACACAGTTGTCACCAGCTGGTCTCTGGCCATCTCAACCCCTGGGCTGCAAGCACTGGGAGAAGCTTGAAGGCTTCCACGGGGATGACTCTGAACAGTCCAGGCAGAGGTGATGCTGAGCAGAAGGTATGGTATACGGCAATGGCCAAGTCTCCAGAGCTGGGATTGGTGGACGCTATGGCAGCCAAGCGCTGGAGATTAAGCATGAATGAGGCCCCCAAACTTGGGCTGTTATAAGCCCCATTTTCACAGAGAATCCTGAGTATTGCACAGATAGAGAAGGGCTGACCCCCCAAGTCACACAGTGAGCTGAGGATCAAGGGACTCACAACCAAGTCCTCATATCCTGACACCTGGGAGGCCTGGCCCTCCCTCTGCCCCTCACAGCAGCTAGTGTGGACACTCTAGGCCTCCTCTGCCCCATGTAGGTGGACCCAGCTGCTTGGCCTCACTCCACAGGAAGGCTACTGGAGTCCCTTTTAGCTCAAAAAGGTTCCCTGAGACTTTGTTCTGATTGGGAGTGGGACGTGATGAGGAATGGATGGTGAGCCCGCAGGCTGGGCCTGAGGAAGCACCTTCAACAGCAGGGTGATCTAAGGGCAAGCCGGGCCTCCTTGGGAGGGTTTGTGGAGAAGGGAAAAAGCTACGGCCTTTAAATCACACAGAACTGTCTTCAAATCCAATGTCTGCCACCAATAGCTTGTGGTGTAGGAAGGTCACATACGTACGCCTAGCCTTAGTGTTTCTCATGAACCCATCTTGTTGGGCGCAGTGTGCAGGAAATGGCAAGTGCGAGGCACATAGGAAGGACTCAGTAAAAGACTGCTCCCTCACCCAACCCCTCCTGCCCTAAACCAAAACCAAACCAAACCCATTGCTGTTGAGTCGATTCCAACTCATAGCAACTTAATAGGACTGAGAAGAACTGTCCCATAGGGTTTCCAGCTGGTGGATTTGAATTGCCAACTTTTTGGTTAGCAGCTGAGCTCTTAACCACTGTGCAACCAGGGCCCAGAGAATAAATACCCCTTCAGCTTGGTTCCCAGGCAAGGGTACCGAAGAGGAACTTCCATGTAGAGGTGGGGAAGGGATGAAGAATAGGGACCAGATGCAAATCACATTCAGAACCCTGGATATGCATCAAATCAGATCAGTGGTAATAGCTGCCTGGTGTGCTGTCTGGAGAAGGCCTCTAAGGTCACAGCCAGGCTCCTGGGAAAGAGCACCAGGATTGATTAGCAATGTCTGTTGTGGGCAAGTGATAAGGTAATCAAGCCACAAGTGCTAAGTATTAGTCCAGCATCAGATTAGATGACCTCTGATGCCTATTACCTCATTTTTACACAAATAACACGTGCCTTCTATGTTGGTTTGCCAACCGCACTCAGCCCCAGCAAGGTATTGTCGTAAGCGTGCTATGTTAAAAAAAAATTAGCATAGTGGGCTTATGAAGATAGCTTGCTGGGGGCAGGCGCAGTTGGCAAACCAACTTCGAAGGCGCGCATTATTTGTGTAAAAGTACGGTATTATACAATTCTGGATTCATAATTCTCTGCTATCATTACTATGGTATGTTGTTGTTGTTGGGTGCTGTTGAGTCGATTCGGACTCATAGCGACCCCATGTGACAAAGCAGAACTACCACAAAGGGTTTTCTAGGCTGTAATCCTTATGGAAACAGATCACCAGATCTTCCTCCTGCAGAGTGCTGGTAAGTTCAAACCGTCAACCTTTTGGTTAGCACTCAAATGCTTAACTATTGCACCACCAGGGCTCCTAACTATGGTATCAACCCAACCAAACCCGTTGCTGTTGAGTTGATTCTGACTCATAGCGACCCTAGAGGACGGAGTAGAACTACCCTGTATGGTTTCCAAGGCTGTAATCTTTACAGAAGCAGACTGTCACATCTTTATTCTGTGGAGCGGCTGGTGGGTTCAGATCACTGACCTTTCAGTTAGCAGCCAAGCGTTTATCCACCGCGCCACCAAGACTCCTTTAACTATGGTATAATGACTGCTATTTATGTATTCAACACTTACCATGTCAAGTTATAAGTTTTCATTTATGGATGGCATCTGTCTTCTTTTGCCTACATGGCATCTAATGCTCCCCTACACACACACATACTTCTTCTGGGTATATCACCTCATTTTTCCTCTGGGGAACCACCCCTTCCCCTACTCTCAGTCCACAGGGAATCTTCTCACCCATTCTGTTTCCAGGCATTGACATGTGACCTAGGCCAGACCAGTGAGGCTCATTCCTGGGACTTTGGTTCAAACCTGCCTATACAACAAAGATGTCACAGAGGAAAGCAGAGCCACAGATGGAAAGACCAAGGCCAGATGACATAATTTGAATTTCTAGATCAAGCCCTACCTGAATTCAGAGTGTCTAGAATTTTCAGTTTTATGAGCCAATAAGTCTTTTGTGTTTTAGAACTGCACAGTCCTATAGTGATTACTAGCTACATGTAGCATTAAAATTAAATTAAAAATTCAGTTTCTCAGTTGCACTAGCCACATTTCAAGTTCTCACTGTGCATATGTGGCTAGTGGTTACTATACTGGATGATGCAAAAGTAGAACATTTCCACCACAGCAGAAAGTTACACTGGCCAGCACTAGCCTAGACTGTGTGGGTCATATGTCTGAACCTTGTGACCAAACATCCCGACTGACACATATTAGCTCTAAAGTTTCTCTGCTCCTCAGGGTCTTCAGCGCCTTCCAGCCCTGAGTCCTGTTAGAATTTATGATTCTGCTTAAATTCCAGCTGACACCTGTGTTCAGTTAGAAGTTTGGACCTTGGTCTGTGGGCTTATGGTCAGTTCAGGTCAGTCCAGGCCCCCAGTGCCCCCCAACACGTGGTGTTGGCCCACCTTGGACCAGGAGTTCTCCTTGCTGAGCAGGTCGGCGTAGAAGTAGGCCATCTTCCACTGGCCCTTGTAGGTGAAGCACCACATCAGCTCCCAGTAGCACATGTGGTGGAACTGCTTCCAGTGCTGCTGGGCCTCACAGCACTCCTCAAACCGCCGGATAGCCTGCGGGCACCCGCCGGTCAACACCTCGCTGGGTGCCCACCGGCCCCACCCCACCCTGCACCCTCCACGCCCTCCCACCTCCAGTGCATGGTGGCCCAGCCCTGTGCCAGGCTCAGGTCGGGTAGAAGAGCCAGGAGATCTGGCCTCCAGTGCTGGTTCTACACCCTAAGTCTCACGTGGCCTTGGGCACAGTTAGGCCCCCTCTCTGTGACTCTGGTTTCCCAGTCACAAAATAAGGAATAGAGCCATAATGGAGTGGAAAATATCAGTATTATAATGATATGATAACGTCTGTGCCTCGGAGTAAAGTCCAAGGATTCCAGTAGCTTCCATGAAGCTGCCTGGGCTTGGGGCATTTGTCCTGCTGCCTGAGAATCCTAACTAGGGCCAGCCAGAGACCCCAGGACTCCACACTGCAGAATCTGCTCTGGGCCTTGGCTTAGGGCTGGGCTCTCTTCCAGGATTATGACCCTCCGCATCTCAAACATCTTCATTAGCTCCCTACTACCTATGAAATCCAGACTCCTCAGCCAAGCCTCCAAGGTCTCCCATCTTCCCCCTCAACACCACTCCACTCACCAGGTTCCAGCCTAATCACTGAGCCTAACACACAAGGCCTTTCCCACCTCTCTGCCTTATTTAAGCCCCTCCCTCTGCCAGGAGCACCTTTTCTTCCTCCATTTCCCTGTCAAAATCCTGCTCAGCACAAATGCCACCTCCTTTCTAATCTTCCCAGACTGCCTCACTCTGAAGGGCCTCTCCCACCACTGCTCTCTCACTGGCTCTCTCTTAGGGCCCTCCTCCCAGTTAGCTCGGTCCCCGAGGTATGCCTGTGTGTATATGACTTCCCACTGGTCTGGAAGCTACCATCTGGGTCCCTGGAGCACCCATCACTCACTGCCTACCACACACTGCCCATCACTCCCCGCCCATCACACACTGCACGACTCCCCGCCCATCACACACTGCCCATCACTCACTGCCCATCACACACTACCCATCACTCCCTGCCCATCACTCACTGCGTCAATGTTGCCTTTAATAGCTTCAATCCGCCCCGCGAAAAACAGAAAGATGGCGCCCTGCAAGGACATGCATGTGGGTCCATGTGACTCCATGTGGGTCTGCGGGGCACAGTTGGGTTGGGGGTGTCAAGCAGCGGGCAGGGCTCACCTTAGGGTAGCGCTTCAGGTAGGGCTTTAAGAGCTTCTCTGCCTCCTCGATGTTGACGTTTCCGGTGCCTGGAAGAGGTGAGGGGACACAACACACATCACCACCATCAGCTCCTGTGATCCTCTCAGCAACCTACCAGGAGGCCTCTCAGGCCTCCATTTCCCCCTCTGTGAATTGGGGATAATAATACTTCCTATCTCCAGGGTGATGTGAAAATTAAATAAGATAGTGCAGCTACTGTCCTGGTACATCATAGGGCTCATAACCAGGAGCCCATGCTCACCAAGCCTATGTCCAGAACCATAAGCGGCTGCCTATAGCAACCTCAAAAGCTCTACAAGGTGGCTGCAACCATCCCCATTTCACAGATGAGAAAACTGAGGCTGGAACCAGGTCACACTGTGAGGACAGGGCCAGGACAGTTGATGCGGCCGTGTTGTTTCTGGTTTTAGTGCCACCCCTCAGCCCCTGTCCCCCTCACCCTGCTCTTAGAGCTAACCAAAGCCCAGGGGCCCCAGCACTCCACTTGCCCCACAGATGCCTACCGAGCACAAAGGTGAGGAAGGTGTGGTAGCAGAGCAGCAGCATGACACAGAGCACAGCGCGGAAGCTATGTCCTGATGCGCCCTCCTCCAGCTGCAACAGCCCGTAGTCCTGGGGGCACAGGGGGAGGCTGAGGCCAGCAAGGCCTGGGCTCCCTGGGCCCACCCTGGGGCCCAGAGAGAAGCAGGGGCCTCAGAAGTCATTGGACAGCTGTGAGGGCCAGGCCAAAGAGCACTGGATCATGATCCTGGAACTCCAGAGGCCGGGTCAGCTGCTCCCAGGCTGTGTGACCCTGAACAAGGGGCTGGCCCTCTCAGTGCCTCAGCCACATTCCTCCTCCACTCCTCTCTTTATTCACTGAGATTCCTAGGCCTGCTCCACCACCCCTGAGCAGCCCCAGGCCTGGTTGGGGAGGAAGAATGACAAGAAAGCAGATAATCCTAATCCCATGCTCAGGGCACAGACAGGGCCATGAAGACTGGGGTCCAGGAAGGCTCCCTGGAGGAAAAGTCTCTAGGCCTGGCTGGGGAGGAGTCAGGGGCCAGACACCACTTGTTTCACTGCCTGCAGTCTCTGCCCTGTCTGTGTTCCAGGATGTTCTTTCTAAAACACAAATCTCACCTGCCTGACCCCTGCTTACCCCTGCTTCAAAAGCTGCCCTACCTGTGAGATCTAACTGACAGCAGCAACTCAAAAGGTTTGATGGGAAGCCTGGGGGGCAGTGAGTTGAAGACAATGGTGATGGAATAATTTGGAAAAGGATAGTGAGAATAGCAGCACAACTGGAAAAATGTAATCAATGTCACTGAATTGTACATGTAGAAATTTTTGAAATGGTGTATCTTTGGCTATGTATATTTTCACCAAAAAAAAAAAAAAAAAGGTCCTCCAAGGTCGGTCGTGGGGTTAACCAATGTCATAAAATAATATGTATACTGACTGTCTAATGAGAAACTACATGTTCTGTGAACCTTCACCTAAAGTACAATAAAAAAAAAAATTAAAAAAAAAAAAAAAGCCACCCTACCTGCAGGACAAAGACAAAGAGGTGGAGGCCCCTGGGTGCCCTCTCTTCCTTGCCAAGTGGGCCACACTCTCCCCGCCCCGGGCCTTCTCTTGTGCCATTCCCTCCTGTCATCATCTCAAAATCTTACTCATTTCCCAGGGACCCTCTTAAAACAAAACTGAAAGGAACCTCTGGTACCTCCAGCCAGTGTTTCCCTAAGTGTGGCCACTGACCGCAGATGGCAACCAAGCCCATCTCAGGGGTCCCTGGGCAGGCAGGCGTTGGGAAGCACTGAGTATCAGTGAGGGCTTTCTCTTCTCTGTTTGCTGTCCGTCCTTCTGAGCCTCAGCCAGTGCTACTGTGTCTTCAATGTCTCCCCTGCCAAGCTCCCTTTCCCACAAAGAGAAGCAGCCTTGGCAGACCACGCACTGGCTGGGCTTTCTTAAGATTGCTTGGTCTTCACAGTATTTATTTTTATGATTACTTTCTTATCATGCCAAATAATATGGGTTTATCATGTGCAGTAATGATAAGTTTCCTTTAAATAAGTTTGAATAAAAAATTATGAGTCATTTTAGAGAAAAGAAAGCATGTAAGTAATAATAAAGAGGTCTGCAATAGATATGGCAAAAATCAGGGAAGGTCTGAAAAATTGCAAGTTTGGAAAACACTTATCTGGCCCAATCTCCTTGTTTTACCAAAAAGAGGCCCAGAAGAAGGAGGGACTTGCTCAGAGTCACAGGGAGAAGGGAATGAGGCTGGACTGGCCCAGGACTACCGACTTCCAGTCCAGTGCTCCTTCCCCTACATGGAACCTCCTCCACCAGGAAGCCCTCTCTGATCTGCTACCTTGAACCTGGGGCTCCTACCTCGAACTTGGGTTCCTGTTGTCAGTAAAGGCTCTGGGTGCTTGAATTCTCTGATTCCTCTTGCCCCCCTTGCCCCCAAGGCCTGATACTCTGTAGGGCATCCCCTGCCCATCTCTCCAATGAGGTAGCAGCACCAGAAAATGGTCTGGGGTGGGGGGTGGGGGGGAACTTGCTCAAGGTCTGACGTAAGTGGCGATACCTGCCAGGCTCCGAAAACGTGTCCCCTGGGCACTGCATGGGGCTGCCCTTCCCACCCGCCCTTACCCCAAAGCCTGTCCACCCTGTAAGGGATCACTGGCCCCATCTGACTGGAGAGGAGACTGAGGCCCAGAGAGGTTTAGGCCTCGTCCAGGACTATACACTGAGGGGGCTGAGCCAGGACTGGCACCCAGGCCCCACAACCCCGCCTCCTCATCCTGGACATCCCAGCTCCAGTCCTGGGGCCGAGAGGGTCAGGGGGTAGGGGGGCCAGGAGGCAGGTGGTTACCTTATTTCCTGAAAACCCCACAAACTCCAGCAGCCGCAGGATTCTAGTAGGAAGCATGGACAGCGTCTGCAGGAACAGAGGTAGGTGGGCATGTGATGGGGCAGGAGCTGCCCCTATCATTCCTCACACCCCCCAGAGTCTGAGGGTGATCTAGGGGTGCAGTCTTGTCTCCAGAACCACCACAATGATACATGGGATTTCTGACCTGCAAACTTCCCCAGGAAAAGAGGCACAACAGAGGGTCTGCATCCAAATCCCAGCCTCACCACTCCCAGTGGGGTCACCTTGCCTCAGTTTCCTCATCTGTAAAGTGGTAACAATAACCTCTACATCATACGGGTACTGTGCAGATAGAAAATATTAATACAGGTAAAGCACATAGAACAGGACCTACAATAGTTTTGAGCTAATGTTGCTGCTGCTGCTATTGTTATACCGAATCCCTACTTTGTGCCAGGGTCTCTGTCATTGTATTTGATCCTCAGAATAGTCCTGAAAAGAAGGGATTGTTGTTGTTAGCTGCCATCAAGTAGGCCCCCAACTCACGGCAACCCCATGCACAACAGGATCGGACCATTGTGACAAATAAGGTATTTATTGGCCGATTTTTTGGAAGTAGGTTGCCAGGCCTTTCTTCTTAGTCTGTCTTAGTCTGGAAGCTCAGCTGAAACCTGTTCAGCATCATAGCAACACATAAGCCTCTAACAAACGACGGGTGGTGGCTGCGCTTGAGGTGCGTTGGCCAGGAATCCAACCTGGATCTCCCACATGGAAGGTGAGAATTCTACCACTGAGCCATCACTGCACCCACAAAGAAGGGATTACTGCCCCATTTAACAGATGGTGAAACAGAGGTACGGACAGGTGACAGGACTTATCCAAGGCCCGACACCTCATGAGAGGTGGAGCTATTTCTTGAACCCAGGACTGTCTGGCTGTAACCTGGTAGAGCATCCAATGCACTGTGGTAGCTTGCATTTCTCAGCTCCTGGGACAGGATCACTGTTCTCATTTTACATATGAGGAAACTGGAGGTCAGAGCAGGGCAGAGACCCCAGCCCCAAGGCCTCCTCTTTGAACAGGCTTTTTTACATGGAGGTGAGAGAACTACCCCCACCTCATACTTTCGGAAAGGCCCGTTCACCTAGGGCATGCGGTCTAAATCTCCCATGAGCAGCTCTTATTCTCATGAGCAGGCTGTGCTCTTCCAAGCCTCCCTGTCTCAGCTCACGCTGTTCCCTCTGACTGAAATGCCCTTCCCCACCTAGGAGACTCCTATGGATCCTTCAAGATCCAGCTCAAATATCCCCCTCCCACCACCTCCCATGGAAACCTTCCCCAGCTCCCCCAGGAAGGGGACTTGGTTCTCTGCTCCCTGTGGGGCACCAGCTGTTTCCAGCCTGTCTTCTTCTCTACGGCTGCAAGATGTTTAACAGCCAGCTCTCCCAGGGTAGAAAGAGCCCTGATTTATGTTGGTGTTTGTCAATTTCTGGAGTCCCCGGGTGCTGCAAATGGTGACACACTCAGCTGCTAACTGAAAGATTGGAGGTTCTAGTCCACCCAGAAGCTCCTCAGAAGAAAGGTCTGGCAATCTAGTTCCAAAAAATCAGCCATTGAAACTCTATGGTTCTATGGTAGCACAGTTCTACGCTGACACACGTGGGGTCACTATGAGTTGAAATCGACTCAACAGCACCTAACAACATAAATACTCCCCGTCTTGGCCAATTTCAAACTACCAGCCTCACGTGGGAAGAAATGCGTAGAATTGGCTCTCTTGAGCTGGCTCCAGCACACAAGGTTGGCAACACGTCTGATTCACTTCTGGGCCTGGTACCCAGCACAGGGCCAGGCACAGCAAGCACTCAGCAGAGACCACAGCCATGTAGGGGAGATTTACTTGAGCCCAGACACGGTGGAAACAGGGCAGGAGGGGACACTCCCACTCACCAGGTTGAAGGCTCCTACACCAAGCTTCACTCCTCCTTCAAAGTGCCTGTGGTTCTCCCCCTTGCAGTACTGTGAGGACTGGACAAGGCTGTCCAGCTCCCTGTGGAGAGACACAGTCCTATTTCAGCCATATGTTGCTGGGCCCCATCTCTAGCCAGGCATAAAGCTCTCTCCTGAGCTAATTCCCTGGTGGTGGATCTATAGTAGTTTGGCAATCCTGAAAGCTGATTATTGGAGGACTTTCCAGCCCCACCTCCCACCAAGATGACACACTCCTTGCCCCTGAATTTCAGCCATGTCGGATGGGCCATAATGACTGTGTAGGAGTTCTGCTGCTGCTGTTCTCAAAATTGTTGTTCCTGTGCCTGCCTCCCACCGCCCCCAAAACTGTTAGTGCTTAATCTGTATCTTATTTTCCCCTCGCACAGGGTCAGACACACAGTACACCCTCAGGGGGCCAAATGAACAGGTACAGCTAGAAAACTCAAGGAAAGAAAATTCCAGAAAACTGAGGTCCTGAGTGTGCAGAAATCTGCCTGAGGTCACGCAGCACTCTAGGCTTCCAGCCTCCAGCCAGTGCTCTCTACCCCACACAGCAGCTTGAGGGGACAGAGTGGTAGATGCTGCAGACCCCAGGCCTCCCATCACACTGCAGCCAGCCCCACTTACTTATAGGTCTGGTAGCTGTTTCGGACTTTGATGCCACCCTTGATGAAGCTCACCATGTTCTCATCCTGCAGGAGGGAGAGATGCTAAGAGCCGGGCCTAGGTAGGCAGCCGTAGGGTTGAGAATGGTCAAGCAAGGCTCTGGGTCCTGACAGCCCCTCCCTGTGCCCAGCTCTATGAGGTGCCCTAAGGGATGGGGTCAGGGGTCAGCCAAACAAGGACTCACTACCCCTGGGATTTGCGATGAGCTCTTATTTGAAAACACAACTTCTAAAATGCCCCGAGTTGGACCACAACCCCCCTTTACCACTCCTATACAGTTTACACGTAGCTATGTTCTTGGAGAAGCGTCTGGAGGAGACAGACCTAATGATTAACAGTGTCTTCCTCTAGGTGGAGGGACTGCGGGAAGGGAGAAGGGACACTCGTTTGTGTTTTTACAAAACACAGGTATTTATCATACTTGTAATTTAAAGCAACCAATACCTATCGCCTAGCAGTTCCACTCCTGGGTATATACCCAACAGGAATGGATGGGCATGGGCTGCAGGAGTCATGTTCAAGAATGTTCATAGCACTACTGTTCATGATAGCCAAGAACCAGAAACAACCCCAATGCCCATCAACTGAATGGATAAACAAACCAGTATATTCATGTACGGAATAGTATGCAGTCACATTGGGTTGGGTGAAAAAAGCAAGTCCATAGGGCTTGAGGCCACGTGAAGCTCAAAATCATCTAACACTTAACAATATGCTGTTCAGGTATGAAAACGAATCGGATGAAGTTATTAAAAAAAAAAAAAAAAGTATAGGGAGTGATAAACACAAAACTCCAGATAGTGGTTTCCTTGCTGGAGGGAGGTAGGGGAGGAGGTGGGGACAAGCCCAGAGGGAGAGGAGAGTTCCTACCAGCCTTCTGTTCTCCAGCTGGATGGAATTCGTGGGTGTTTGTTATTTGTGACAATACAATGAAAAACAAAATAAAAGGCCATTTGTGGTACAATTATCACAGTGAGTATTAAACCAAGGATTAAGATGAATCCATATTGTTTTTGAGGTCCAAAAAGACCTCAAGTGAAAAAGAAAAAGAGCTAACAAAAATAAACAGCATCCTAACTCTAAAATGCACCTCTCCACCCAAATGCACACATATCATGATGATTATATGTTATAATTATAACCCAGGCCTTTTTGGTAAAATTGTAAAGTATTGGTTCTCATAATTCACCAAACTCCCTTCTGTGTGGTAAGGAGAGAAGACATGGATTCTGAGTTGGCCAGACCTAGGTTCAAATCCCACCTCTGCCAATTGCTAATCACATGACCTTGAGAAAGTGATTCCTCCTCTCTGTATCTCTCCTTTGCAGAGCTGAGATGAAGGTTAAAGAATATATGTAAATGTCTGTACAAACAAGCACGTAATGTGTGTTAAGGTACATAAAGACAATATACCTGTTATGTATGCAAAAAGCCTGGTACATCATAGGTGCTGCTATTGTATAAATTGAGTATCAAGCAGGCTTTGTGATGATGCCTGTCTCTCCTGCATGACCCTCAATGGGAAAAGCAGCAGTCACAGGTGGAAGCGCCACCCTGGTGACATGTGCGCTCAGTGTGTGAGGGGGTGAGCATATCACCTCCATTATCAAGTCTGGCCAGGGCCCAGGAGCATTGGGGTGACTAAGCCTCAGTCCTTGCCTGAACAATAAGGGGCCGATCATGACTGCTAAAGACCCTGTGGGCTTGGACACAATGATTGATCTTCTGAAATGCCTAGCCTGCTTGTGCAAGTGGCGGGTCCCTACCTGCAGGAAGGTCAGGGCTGCTCTCTGCAGCAGGCACTCTGCATAGCAGACCTCAGCATGGATTTCCTCTGTGGGGAGAAAAACAAATCCCTGCAGCCTCCTGGGATCTTGGCAGGAGTCTTAGGCCAAATCCTCCCCACTCTCACTTCTCAAAAGGCAAAGGGCATCTAAGTCAGCACCCATTCCCTCTGCACCCATCTCGACCCCATTTCCCAGGCCTGGTTCCCTCACAGCACTCACCAGTGGCCCACATTAGCTGATGTTTCTCCCCCTTGTCTACTGCCTCATTCCCCTGCCCACCCTTGCCCTGTTCTCTTGTTTGTCAAGCATCAGGTAGATGCTGTGCACCCAGTGCCTCCAAGCAGTTCTGGGCAAGGAGGTGGCACTGGGTTGAATGGACAAAGGAAGAAGATCCCATCCAGGCAAGCCCAGGGGCCATGGGAATAAGGGGAGGGAACCCAACACAGCCTGGGGAATCAGGGAACACTTCCAGAAGAATGGACATTTGAGTTGAAAAGAAATGAAAGGATGAGGCAGGAAGGGCTTTCTAGGCAGAGGCCCAGGGAAGCCAAAGAACTCAGATGTTTGGGGGACAGGTGAAACACAAAAGGCAGCTGAAATGGGGGTGAGGTAGGGGGACATTCAGAGGGCAGGGGAAGATGAGGCACAGGGGCCCAGTTGTAAAGGGCCTTGACCACGAGGGAGGATTACAGACTTGGTTCCGTGCAGGGGGGCAGAAGGGAGCCATGGGAGGTATGATGGAGGAGAGGGGAGCCGTCAGATGCACTGCTTGGGCTGGGACCCTCAAGGGCTCTTGAGGTTGGTAAGGCTGTTTGCTCTGGCACTAAAGAGCCCCAAATTGCTCCTGGTTGGCTATTGCTACCTCCAGTGCTGCCAGCCGCAGATTGTCACAGCACAAAGATGCCATATAGGCTGTGACAGCCCAGGTCATCCCTTCCACTGTCTGCTGTCTCCTCTGTGTGTCGGCTTCTAAAACCACATTCCCCTTGGGGACACATGAGCTGGCCAAGCTAATTAAACCAGTAAACCTAACAGCACACACAACTCTAAGCCCACCCTGTACTGAGGAGGAAAGCACAGGGACCTTGTGGCAGCTCTTCCTTTCCTCGATTTCTAGGTTTTCAGCAGCTAATGCTGTCAGGTAAGTGGTCTCACCTGTCCTCAACACCCTCACCTGAGAGCCACTCCTCAAAGGCCCCAGGTCTGACTCATTCGTGTCCCAGCATCTAGGCCAGGGCCAGGCCCCCTTGGTGACGGCTGGGAAGGTAACGGGCCCTTCCCACCCCTCCCTGGGCTGGAGCCGGGCTGCCTGGGGCTGGAGGGGTAGGGATGCCATCCGGATGCCACACCTTCCGTGAACTGGTCCACAGTGGTGCGGTGCACCAGGCTGCTGAAGGAGTCTGTTACGGAGGACTTCTTCCGGTGCCTGAAGAGGTAAGGGGGGCTCTGGTCACTCAGTGAGGGAGAGAGAGCGGGGCCCAGTGCCGGGTCACCTCTCTCTCTGGAGAATTCTTAGGGAGGCAGTGCTAGCAGAAACAACACAAGTTTTGGGGTCAGACACAGAAATTTTGGAATTCTGGCAAAAAAAGTCACATTACCTCTCTGAGCCTCAGTTTCCTCACTGGTAAAATCGGGACTATGAACACCTGTATTAATCACGGGTTGCTGTATATAAGCAGCCCACAGCCGACCAGTCCCCTAGTCTGGCCGAAGCTGTTCTTGGCGGCTCCCAATCTGCCCTGCCTTTGTATTTCTCTCCTTAGTTCAGGTCTCCTCATGACCCACCTGGTCTCCCACCCCCGCCCACGCAGGTCTTGGTGCCTGCTCACCCTCCACCTGTCTACAGAGGGATTTTTCTCAAAGACTCTCCCTGCGCAGAACCCATTTGGCTCCGCACTGCCCTCTGCATGCAGCCTGGGCTCTTCCTGCGGTTTCGAAGGCTCACAGTTTCTGGCCGCCTCTCCTGCCCCTTGCGTGGGACAATCCAGCCACAGTGAACTCCTGGCAGCTCCCCCAAATCCAGGGCTCTCTTACCGCTTGTCTCTGCTGTTGCCTCTGCTTGGAGTCTCGTCCCCTCCTCCCTCTGCCTGACCAGCTTCTAGTCACCCTGCAGGACCCAGCTCAGGCATCACTTCATCCAGGAAGCCCTTCCTGCTCCTCCAGCTGGAGCCCACAACCCCTCACGCTTCCCTGCATCACGCTGGGATGTTATGGTCTGTGCCTGTCTCCCTGACCAGGTGGCGATGGTGCTAGGGCGCCCTGGGTCTGATGACTCCTTGAGTCGCCAATGCCCAGTAGAGGGCCTGACCCAGACCAGGCACAAGTGTGTGCTGAATGAATGGTAACACCACCTGTCATAAACACACAGGGTCTATTAGTACATCTGTTCAAGCAGCTAACGTGTACTGAGCACCAGTGATGCACCAGATCCTGTGCAGGTGTCTTCATTTGGTCCTCACAACCACCCTATGGCATATATATCATCACACCCATTTTCCAGAGAAGGACTTGCCCAAGGTCAAAGACTTAATAAGTGACAGAGTCAGAATTTGCTTCCTCCCAGTCAGACCTGGCCCCTAGAAGCCAACAAGACTCCTGAGGAGGTGCTGACAGGGACAGCTCTTGGCACTTGGGGACACATCCTCTTAGTCCAAAGGAGCAGCACTAAGTGGCATTTTAGGTGCTGGATATGCCAGGGTGACAGAAGGGTGGATCTCACACCCCTCATGCACCCTCCCATGGCCCCCGACCTCTGACACAGCGACTGTGCCTCCTTCATCATGTTGCCGGCAAGTAGGATGTCCTGAGGGTCAAAGGTCATCATGGCCTGCATCTCCAGGATGGTGGCATACGTCAGCGAGTGGTACATGCTCTCCTTGGTTCTGCCAGAGAGAAGGGGCATAAGGCGATCAACCTGAACTCGAGAGGTAGCTGGCCCTAAGTCGCGCATCTGCCATTCCTCCCCCATTCTACAGATGAAGAAACTGAGGTCCAGGGAGGGGAAGGGACTTGCCCAAGGTCTGACTCTTTCACTAACACTCAAAAGACCTTGACTCCCATTCCCAGCTCCTCTTCCTGCTGAGTGGCCCTAAGTGACCTTCCCAATCTGAGCCTCAGTTTCTCATGTGTTTGGCTTGGGGTGGGAAGAGAGTAGCAACAAGGCTACTCTGAGAAAGGCTTAGCAATATATCGGCCTGAAGCCGCCCTTCCTGGCTTCCAGACCCTGCCTCTTGCCTTCTGCCCCCACCTCCAGTAGGCTGGGCCCAAGTCCTGTCCCAGGTGAGGTCCCAGCAGAGTCCTCCTCTCATCCCCAAGCCTTGTCCCATCCCTGCTCCTGGGAGCTACAGGGACAGCCTCCCCACCAGCCACACCACCTCCTGCTACCTTCCCTCCCATCATCGTCTGGTTAAACCCTCCAGGGGCTTCCACATCCCATCAGATAATGCCCAAGCCCGCTGCCTGGCACCTGTGGCTCCACAGGTTCTGCCCACCTCTCCAGCCCTCTTGCCCCTTCTGCTTCTGACACCACAATCTGGTCACATGCGAGACTGTAGCCCTGGCCACACTGAACCACACATGCTTTCCCCCAGAAAATCCCGCCCCCAGGCCTTTGCCCATGCTGTTCCTTCAGCCTGAAATGCCTTTCCCTTCGCCATCTCCCCACAAGACAACTAATCCCTCAAAGCCTTCAAATGCCTCAAAGTCTACTGGGAATCCAGGGCTCTCTCTTCTAGGATTATGTGTTTATAAATAACTCAGGCAGGGGTCACACTGAATTTATATTGGCAGAGGCCTCGGCTCGCTCCCCAGACTTGAGCACCTGAAGGGCAGAGCTTGTGCGTGCCTCACCCCTGTTCTCAGCACACACGTGACAGGCAGAGCTGAGCAGGTCTCAGAAAGTGTCAGCCTCCTGCCTCTGTCCCGGCTCCTCCACAGCCCCAGGCTTCCCAACTAAAGGTGTGTTGTGGGGGGACGTTTACTTTAACACATAGAGAGAGCAGCAATGCCAGTCTCTCCCTGTACTGGGGGTATCCCTTAACACATGTGGACCTTGATTTCCACTTCTGCAAAATGGGGACAGCATGCCAGACTGCTGGGTCCTGTGGGACTGGTCAGGCATAACCTGTGCCTGGCACACAGTAGGTGCTGCAGCCATCTTCACTCCCTTCATTATTTATGAAACTCCTCAGTGCCAGGCTTATGCTGGGAACTTTGGAGGAAAGAGAGATAACTAAGGTTTATACATCGTTTACTGCAAAAATCACGTGACCCATTTTCATGCCTTGCCTGCCCATGAAACACCTCTGTAAAATTAATTTTTTTTTTTTTAACTTCTGGGTGACCCTCAGGTGTTTATCCTTGAAGATCAAAGGTTTCTGAAGGAAAGAGAAGGCTGGTGCCCCTCCTCCCCAACCCTGGTAGCTGTCAGGACACCTCCTGGGTCTTGGTTGGACTACTTAATCAAGGGCCTGCGGTTTGTGGTTTGTAGGAAGGAGATGGAGATCTCCTACGGGGACAGAACTTAGGCTTCAGAGTACCTCAGACAGAGGCTGAAATCTCAGCTTTCCCAGTTCCCAGCTCTGTGGCTCTGGTGAGTCTCCTGGGCTTTCTGAGCCTCAATTATCTCCTCCATAAAAAGGATATGATAACCGTTCTCTCACAGGGCTGAGGGTGGCTTAAATAGGAGGCCCAGGTCTGGGGTTGGATCTCCGATGCTCGATAAATATGGGTGCTGTCAGGGTCAAGGCTCACTCTCCCGGATTACAAACCCCCTGAGGAGGGGCTTCTCTGGCAGCATACAGACAATGCCTCCCACCCAGGCCTCTCTAACTCTCCAGCCACTGCCTTTCTCTGCCTCTCCCACCCAGGCCCAGGACTCAGTTCTACCTGCCCGGCGCCAACTGCTGTCCAGTTTGGTGCTGGGCCCAGCAGAAGGGACGGCCCCACCTGGGCAACTGACAGACAAAGTGGAATTTCTAGTCTGAGGTCCGTGGCCCCAATATGCACCTGTGGCTGAGAATCCTGGCCCCTCCCCAGCCCACCACCTGGAAGCCCCCAACCCCAACATGGGCTGGGAAGCAGAGTACAGAGGTATGACATGCCCTTAGACCTCAGACACCCCAAGTTTTAGTTTCCACCCTACCAAGTTCTTATTTGCATATACAGTATCCAGACCACCAGGAGCAACAGTTCTCTCACCCCTGAATTGGACTCAGGTCTGGGACAAGATGCCCACTGGGGTCCTACCTTCCGGGGCTGTCAGGATGGGAAAGGTGCTGGAAGAGTCATCAGAAGTTCAAGGTGCTAGAACCAGGGACTCCTTGACACTTGCGGGTCAGCTAAACCCAGTGGCCTCCAGACCTTCCCTCCACGGCCAGCAGGTCCTTGTCAGCTGCTTGTCAGCCTCCTGCCCCACCCTTGTCCCCACCATGTGGGCCTGCTTACCCTGGCCCAGCCCCCACTGCTCCTTGCTGGGGGCACCCCCCACACTCTCCTAGTTCTAGCGTGGCTCTCCCTGACCTAGGGCCTCACTTCCCTAGGACCTCTAGACAAGGCTTCTCCAGGCTGGAAGGCAGAGGCAGCCCCTGTGCCTCTCCAAGCCACTACTCCTTCATCCTCATTAAACCTTTCCCCTCAGCCCACTTGCTGGTCCTCTCAGACCTTGCTCTCTAGCCATGGGCCCCACCTCACTGCCCTCCTCTCCACCCTTCCATCACCCTGTCCTCTCACTTCTGGGACCTGCCTTGGCTCTCCACATCCCAGTCAGGCCGGGTGTCTCAGTTCCTCAGTCAGGGCTTTGCACAGGCTGTTCCCTCTGCCTGGGGCACTCTCAAACACCCCCTCCATCTGGCTGACTCCTCATTCAGCCCGCCTCAGCTGAAAAGCCACTTCGTCCAGGAAGCCTTCCAGGCCTGGCTTCATGGGTGTGCGATCTACGCAGCCGTACTGGGCCCCACATGGGATCCCATGCTTGGTTTAATGCTCTGCTGTCACCATCTTGAAATTCTTAACAATTTTTGAACAAACCAAGAACCCATTGCCATCGAGTCAGTTCTGACTCACAGTGATCCTATAGGACACAGTAGAACTGCTCCATAGTGTTTCCAAGGAGCGGCTGATAGGTTCAAACTGCCAACCTTTTGGTTAGCAGCCTAGCTGTTAACCACTGTGCCACAGATTGTGTAGCCAGTCCTAAAGCCTTCCATGACCAGCCCCTTCCCCTTGGGGTTCCTGTATTTCCTCCAGCATATCTCTCATCACACCTTATTGTTGATGCTTCTTTCACTGCTTCCCTGCTGGATTCCAAGAACAGCCTGAGTCTTGCTTGGTATTGTAGCCCCAGTACCCAGCACACTGCCCAGCACATGGATGACAGTCATGAGATGTTGCTAAGTCAACCAGTGACCATTGCTCATCTGCCCACATCCCATGGACCATACCCAGAACCTCATCATCATCAGACAGAATGGTTCTGCCTGAGACTTTTAACTTCCCAACCTTCCCACCCATCACTCCTGCTATGCTATCCTCCACCTCCAACCTGTCCTCTCTTCCTGACCCGCAACTCAACGTCCTCATACCACCCACTCACTTATCAAAATAGTGCTAAACCTTCCAAACTTCTGTTGCACCCGGTTAGGAACCTCAGTCCAGGGTCCACACAACTGCCTGCCCTCTCCACGCTGCCACTGAGCAACGCAGGAGAACACTACCCAGTCATGTAGACAGGTACCATCCTGAGCTGGGGCCACTGGCCTCAGTCAGATCTGCCACTCTCCTCAGAAATACCTTCTCCTCTCTCCCCTTCATCCCCTTCCCAACACCTGCAGGGCCCCTCACTCTTGGTAGATGACCTGTCTCTTCCCTCAGAGAAATTCCAGGCCATTGCATGGACACACCCTGAACTTCCTGCACACTCCCACACAATTTAATCTCTGCCCACACCCTTCTCTGCCTCCTTCATTCCCTCTTGTTTGAGGAGGCAGGTGTGAGGACCTCCAATCCAAGATAAACTCCACCCTTTTCCAGGGTGGGGCCTGGATTTGAATCCAGGCTCTGCAACCTGGTTAAGCACTCCCAGGCTAGCTGGAAGGTCAGAGGTTGGAACCCACCAGCTGCTCCACAGGAGAAAGATGTGGCAATCTGCTTCCGTAAAGATTTACAGCCTTGGAAACCCTATGGGGCAGTTCTACTCTGTCCTATAGGGTCACCATAAGTTGGAATTCACTCCACGGCAACGGCTTTTTTTTTTTCCTATAACCTATGAACTGTGGTCATTTATTCATGAAGAAAATATAACTTAGTAACTACTATGTTCCAGAGACAGCGCTTAGGGATAGACACAGTGCTAAGTGAAATAAACCAGAGGCTGAAACGATGCTAATTAAAGAAGTGGCATATGGAAAGCAAATATCTGAGGTGAGGAAGGGGAGCTGGGTAAGCCTGGCTGCCTCCCCAAGGCGCACATGCCCACTGTACAGAATTAGGACAATCAAATGAGACAGTGTGTGCACAGTGAGAAACAGTGAAGGAATTGGATCCCAGCTTCTTTTGAAGCCTAAATGGCTACAAATGGGGAGGGAAGGCTGTTTTTTAGCAAGAGTTGTTTTCTTTCTCTAGACCAGTGATTCTCAGTGGGGGTGGGGAAATAATTTTGACACCCTCCCCTAAGGGATATTTGACAATTTCCGGAGACATTTTTGGTTTTCACAAGGTAGAGGCAGGGGGAGTGTGTTGCTGGCACATACTGTTTAGGAAAAAGCTCTAAAACACAAAAAGAAAGATCCTTTTCTGGAACAGGGTGGAGGTTAAGATAAAGGGAAGCTAAAGCTGCTTCCAAGGAGCCTGGTAGTATAGTGGTTAAGTGCTCAGCTGCTAACTGAAAGGTTGGAGGTTTGAACCCACCCAGCTGCTCTAAGGGAGAGAGGCCTGGGGATCTGCTTCTGTAAAGATTACAGCGCCAAGAAAACCCTATGGGGCAGTTCTACTCTGTCACATGGGGTCCCTATGAGTCAGAATTGACTCGACAGCACACACCAACAACAAACTGCTTCCAGCGAGCTGTGAGAGGCACACTGGTTTCTGTGGGTACCTTCCTTCAGGAGGAGACTAGCATTTCCTCTCTGGGGGACTCCCGGTAGATTGCCCCCCTGAGGTGAGAAAGGCGAGGCATTCCCTTAGTGTGGTGGTGGCTAAAGAGGGAAAAGCCCCCTGGACACCTTTTTAACTCAGTACTGAAGTCACTCCTGAAGTTCACCCTTCAGCCAAAGATTAGACAGGTCTATAGGGCCAAAACTAACACATGTGAGGGTCATGCTTCATAAATCAATCATGTATACAAGACTAATGGGAACACCATCTGTCACAGATTGAATTGTGTCCCCCCAAAAATGTGTGTAGCAACTTGGCTAGGTAATGATTCCTGGTATTGTATGATTGTGTTATCTGATGTGATGTCCTTATGGGTTGTAAACTCTACCACTATGATGAGATTATATGTGATC